ACAAGACATTGCATTGTGTTGCATATATAACGTGCAGGTTCAATTTCAGGGTCTGTGAGAGTATCAGCGACATGAATTTTACACAATCCTATTTAATCACAAGAGATTTGATAATATCCCCAAATAAACGTTATAATCTGTCAAATCTCGTATTCTTTCCTGACTAATCCACCTTGACGGCAACATTTTTTTTGTGGGTTTCAGCACAAGTATTGTTCACCATGTTTGAAGCGTGTGACGCTACTGCATGACTCATCATTGTTGGAGTTCAGTGTTGTGGGATTTGCACATGCACACTGAGCTCAGCCGTAATGCTCTTGTTATTAAACAGGGTCTGTTATAAAACACCAGCAGCCAGGTGCAGGTTTTGGAAACTGTTGTGGCCTAAATTTTTGGGGGGAGTGGATTAAGAGCAGTGTCACTTGGTTGTGGTGGGTTATATAGTATGCCGGCCAGGTACAGTAGAGTAATCTGTATAAACTCAGTTCCGAGTCTTTCCTTAGTTCCTTGTTAACGCGTTGTTTTCCCCCCCTCTGTAATTTCATTCAAAAACTATAATGACACTGTGTTCTAATTTTTGGGATCAGTCTAGCTGGGTCTCGAGTCTTGTCTCTGAATCAAGACATTTTTACTCGGTCTATGTCGTATTTGTATCATTTGGACTATTTAAAAAAAACAACATAGCAGAATTTGTTTTTGTTCCGTATGTAATGAAAAAAAAGGTTAATTTGTTTTTTTGGGTGAATATATATGTCTGTACTCTATTTCCAGTTTCACAAAAATCAATGAGAAAGACAAAAACAGTTCGCTGTGATGGATTGAGGCTAGTCTGAATCGTAAAAATAAATTACACGTGACAAAAATTACTACACGTTGAAAAGTAAATACAAGCAACGTGTTGAAGTAAGTGGGACGTCCTTACACATCAAGCCTACAAAAATTATTTGGGCTCTTTGCCATAGCATGTTGACATATAAATATAATGTGATCAACGCAACACTTTCAAAGCTTCATTGGGGCCCCGCCCACAAACAAGGCAACATTGAAACATGAGTGTAAAATAGAGATGAGGCTTTCAAGGTCATGAATTGCAGTCTAAAGACAATCTCCCTCAGCCCAGCTCTTTTTAGCCATGAATGTTTAAATGATGAAGATGAATATGGATGCTGCTGCATTTGCAAGTGGAGCATTTTAAAGGTGACTAAGCTGAGTTTCATGGTTCACGTCGCTGCATGTTCATAATGTGGAATGGCCCAAGGGATACAAAAAAAAAAAAGGATGAAATGAACACGATGTGTGAGAGATGAGTCTTTACATTTTATAGTTTGCCTGACGTGTTTGCGTGCATGAAGCTACATTTGCGTGAGCAATGTATTCATGTTTTCCTCTATGCATATTCTAGTATAGCAATGCAGAGTCTTGCACTAAAAGATGATCACGGGTGAATTGTTCAAAGATGTTCAATATGGAACAGGACAATAGCTCACCACCAAGTGGCTTGCTGTGGTCACTTGTCACACCTTTTACATGACATTTTTTTATACTGCAACTGCTAAAAATATTGTAATATCCTGGGAAACTCATCGTCACTTCACAATCATAATATGAAAATATTTAGAATTGCTCATACAATTATTAAAGGTATTGGTGATTAAATGTTGGTGACAAGTTGGGATCTTGATGGATTTATTGATGCAATTCATTTGCTTATGTTTCTCTTGTAAGGGTTAAGCTTTGCAGTGTATCCAGTCAAAAGTCAAAAGAGTGGCAATACCTTTTGTAAGGCTTCCTGAAAGCAATCTCTGAACTGACTGGATCAACTTGAGCACCCCCTGTCGACAGCGAGTGCCGCAGCCAGCCATCTTTGGATAGAAGCAGATGGGCTTGAGGATTGTCTGGAAAAGATCCGTTTCCTCCACTGTACCTCAAAAAGGATTTGGGCTGGTGCAGCCTTTTTAAAAGATAATATTTCAAGGTGTACGCTCGAGAGGAATCTACTTCAGTAGTTGTTCCAGTTTACACTCCAAAGGGATCATCGTCATTCCACGTTCAAGGAAAAAAATGAACCAAAAACTGTTTCTGTGCTAATCCACCACAACTTTCAAACGCACTCAAGAAGTTGCAATGCTTTTCATTTTGAAGTTCCACGGCGGAGAAAGTTGCGAAGAAAAAAAAAAACGGAAAAAGAAAAATATCCACCTGCTCAGAAGAAATGATGAAAAAATGACTTGAAACCTTAATGTCCCCAGCAGCTCATTAGACAGAGATAAAAAGTTACATCTTTCAGCCAGTTCTGCTCTCAGGGAGAGAAAAAAAAATCTGTTCTACTCACATTCTTGCAGATTTATCATAAATTTTCTCTTCTGGGGAACCCGTTTATCCTCAGGCTATTTGAACTGTAGCGCGGGGCTCACATGAGCCTCGATGGAGGTCTGTGGAACATCTCTCCTGTGGTGCATGTCACACATTCGGACTTGAGAGTGCCAACAGCACTTTACCACCCCCACTACCACAACATGCTCCCTCCTCCTCTCTTACATCTGAGCTTCCTGCCTCCATTTGGTCATGTCCAATCTTAAAGGTCTGTTTTATAATATCCAGTATCCACGAGGTTATTCAAGATAATGTTGATCACGGTGGGTTTTCAACATGCAGAATTAGAAGACAGTGTGGTCCAATCATGCTCATGTGGCGGTGCGTGACAAAATAACCCAAGAAGGCAGTTGCGATCAATGGAGTAAAATCCGGAAGGCATCAACGTCAAGAAGTTGGACATTGATCAACATCTGAAAGAAGCGCCAGAAAAATATGACCAAAGTGTCAACAGTGTTCAAACAAAACTGAACATATATGATCACAACATTTTTGATGGAGATTTTTTTTTTTATTTTTCTTGTACTCGAAGCCATTCGATTGTGTGGGTGTACCGAAAGTTGCGACTGGGAAAGTGCTAAATTGAAGTGAGCATAAACACAGTCTGTTCTATCAGGGAGCAATTCCAAAACAGGTTATGTAATCTTGCAGGTTGCTTGTGGAGACAGGAGAGTTTTTCCTCTCTTCCTCTCTCCAATCAAGTGAGAAATTTTAAGGGACACTTGGACACTCCCTGTATTTCTTTCGTCTTCTTACTATAAGTTGTTTTTATTCAATGGTTTTAGATTGCCACTGTGGTGATTTTTTTATTGCTTTTCTTTTTGGGTGGAGGGAAGGGGGGGGGGGGTAAGGTCCGCACCAGAGAATCCGACAGATGAGTCCTTGTGATAGGATGGGCGAAAAACAAAGGAACTTGTCAACATAGGCTACTTTGGTTGGTTTTTGTGAATGTAATATTCGGTATTTCATATTGTGCTGGATGAATTTCTTTTCAGAAACATGCATACTTTAAACAACCTCTGGTACTTAATGCTCATATTGGTACCCATCTGGCCACATTCTGTCTTCATTATAAACATCAAGGGGGAATTAGTATTATCCTTGTCAATTCCTGTCATGTGTGCTTTGCTTGGGCTCCACAAGCACGAGAATCAACTTTTTTTCAAAAACAGCAGGGCAGTATTTACACATTCCGTTTGCAACCAAAATAGCTGCAGAGAAATTAAGAACATTTTTTTTCTCGTCCTCACTACCTCCACAAATACGCCTACTATAAATGGTTGCATAATATGTGAATGTATTTCAACACATGGATACCATTTGCACCGCATAAACACAAACTGACGAAGATGGTATGAAGATTCGACTATTTTCTAAAATGTAATACATGTATTCACTTTTTTTTTCTTTTTTTAATTTAAAAATATTTTTGGGTGCCAGAATTGATTTTCCCTTTGGTCTTTGTGCTAGAGAATGTTTGGCAATTAGCAATATGTTCTTGAAAAAAAGCAATAACCCCCCCCCCCCCGCGTCCCCTTTTTTAAAACATGTTCTGCGTTGAAAAGAGTTGTTTTGCAAAAGCATTCAATGGTGGCTGGATGAGACAAACGGCAATTTTTTTACTCAGCATCTGTCATCGCCATCTAGTGGACAGATAGACAGTAACCGTGTTGATCATTTCATTAATTTGGTTTCCTTCTCGGTCTCCAGTAGACGGAAATAGTCATAATTGTCAATGTTAAATCGGGATCTGATAATGTGCAGTTCTATTCAGCATTTAAGATTTTAAAATTTCCCTGAAAGTATACTTAGTATTTCATTGAAACATTTTTCAGCCCAACATGATATTTGTGGTCACACTCATGTTAAAACGTAATCATAGTCAGGTTTTTTTGGAGTGGAGTATTTCATGATTCAGTCACTTACAACAGTGGTGAATAAATAGTGACATTTTTAACTATTTATAACTTGCAGCTAATCCCTTCAGTCATTCATACCGTCTTTCTGAAGTCAGGCACTTGAATACCACACAAAAAAACAACTTGTTGGTCACTCATTCACTTTCAGAGTTGAGGAAAGAAGAGATCAAAAGTTGCAAACTTTGAACTGCTCCTGTCTCCAAGTAGCCTGCTTGTCAAACATTCTTCAAACTTCAAGAAACCCTGAACAAGATAAGCAGTATAGAAACGAATGGATGGACAGATATAATTCACTGATGGAGAACACAATAGACACGGATCTCTCATGACAAGTGTGATGGCAGGGCACCCCAAAAGCAGGCAGGCGGGAGAAGCAAAGTGGACTGAACAAAACATTAACAAAAAAAACACATGCAGGGGTACACTTAAAAAAAAAAAAAAAAATCAAAAACACAAACAAAGTCATGGAAGCCACATGAAACCAAATTAGCAAACAAACAAAAACCCTATGACAGAATCAAAACAACATGACATGAACACAACGATCTGACAAAGACTTGAGTGGATGCAGGGAACTAAATACCAGCAAACTGACGAGACAACAAGAAACACCTGGACAAGGCACGAAGGTTTGAGGCAGCTGATTGGTTAACACAAGGGACCCGGACGACGAAAACAGGTGGTGACAAAAAAAAAGACACATGATGCAACAAAACCAAATGGAATCCAAATCCAAAAACAAACTGGTTAGCAAATCTGGAGCTGTGGGCAGCGAAGCAGAGATTCGTTGGGTACCGCTTTCTTGCTATTCAAGTTCTTCATCTGAGTTTCTTGAACTGTGTCGTCAGACAATCGGGAATGCCTTTTTCCATTCGAGAGGGTCGATCTTTTGCGCCCTCGCAGTTTTCTGCGTGACGATCCCCTACAGAAGAGCAGCTCCGCATACGATTTTCTAAAGTCTCTGTTCAAAGCGGGATACAGGATGGGATTCAGGACTGAGTTAAAGTAGCCAAGCCACAGGAGGACAGAGTGAAGTGTCGTCGGGGGGTTCATCTGTTCTTTGAGTCCCGTTCGGGTGAAGAAGGTGAAGTAAGGGAACCAGCAGATGATGAAGGCCCCCAGCACAGCGGCCAATGTTACGGTAGCTTTGTGCTCTTTGGCTGTGGCCGCAGTTGATGCCATGCGGGCGAACGACGGAGTGGCCGCACGGATTCGTTGCACCTGAGAAAATCAATCAAAATTAGACTTTCATTTCAACCGCAAGTTGGTTGATCATACCGAAAGATCTTTTTTTTTTTTAAATACATATAATTTTTTAAATGAGGTACCCAGGCAGCAAAAGGCTTACATGTCAACCTGCATTTTCAAGACATTACAACCTCTGCAGAAGATGGAGCAATACTTGTCTTTTGTTTTGTTCCTTTGATGCCTAATAACAAGCCAATAGATGGCAGAAGCCAAAACATGTTGTTGTTTTTTTTTTTTCTCAGCACTGGACAAACTGTATGCTCATGAGCTATAACATAAGGTACACTGGTGTCAACATAAGCTAAACAAAAGAGCAAAATCAAAAATTCTTTTTTTACAGTCTTTCCAGTGGCAGCTCTGGATATTTTGGGGCACTTAGAACATTGACGCCTCAAGATATATCCAAGAGGGTTTTTGTTTGGTGGTGTGCCTTGGCTCAGTAAACGGGAATTACTGCTCGAAATGACAATATAGTTTCTTGACTAAAACAGCAACATCAATTCATTCAAACAATAATAGAAACATCAGAGAAACTTAGCATTGTGATGTGGTGTCTTCATTTTTTTTTTCTCGAACTATAATGCAGCCCCGCAACCCTCGTGAGGATCAAGCGGTTCGGAAAATGAATGAATGAATGAATGAATATAATGCAGCCTTTGGGATCTGTAAAAACGGGAGAAGGAACCGATGATTATTTTTTGATTTTTAAAAGTGGCTTAAGTCGCAGATTTCGATCATCATTAAATTCAGATGAATTTTTTAAATCTTTTGTTTTTGTTGTTGTAATTTACCCACACATGAATTTGCACCATGACTGTAACTTCAGGCCACTGGATATAAAGAAATCCACTCAACCTCTCCAAATACTCACCTGTTGGCGTGCCACTCTGAATATGCATAGGTACATGGCGCACATAATCATCAGAGGAAGGTAGAACGAGCACAAGACATAAAAAATGATGTAGTTGTTATTCCATTCAAACTGGCAATAGCGTCCCTCCTCCTGGTCTTGCCCCATGTGCCAGTCCGAGTGCTGCACCCTGTAGTCGACTGTGTTCCAGCCTAGGTGAATGGGCACAAAAGACACGGCCAGCGACAAGGCCCAGATGCCGACGATGGCCAGCGTCACCCTCGGAGGGGTGATTCTCAAGGAGTAACTGAGGGGCGCCGAGATGGCAAGGTATCGGTCCACGCTGATGGCCAACAGGCTCAGGATGGAGGCGGCACACAGCATGACATCCAATGAGACGTAGATGTTACACATGGTGCCTCCGAAGGGCCACTTCCCACTGCGTAACTCCAGAGTTGCAGAAAAGGGCAGCACCAGCAGGCCCATCAGGAGATCTGTCACCGCCAGTGACACCACAAAGCAGTTAGCGATGCGCCACAGTCGGCGGCTGAGGCCCACGGCCAAACATACCAGCACGTTCCCACCAACGGTAAGGATGATGAATGACACCAGAATGAGCCAGTGGAGAGCTGTAGAAATCATGATGCTCTCCTGCGCTGAGTCAACGCAACAACGCTGAAGCTTTGGAGTCACTTGCTCTTGTGTGTGAAGTTCATAAGTCACAGAGTGGAAAAATCTTCCCAGGCACGGGCATTTTTTTTTTCCTCTTAATTGTTCCCCTGCTGTGACTCTCAGAGGTCAACAAGTCCCTGTTGAAGGAAAAAAAAAAGAACTTTTATTTATCATTACAAGTGCAACAAATGCTCCATGAGTGGAGCAACTATTGCAAATTTAAAAAATGGGATTTTTTTTTTCATTTTTTTTTCACACACACACACACACACACACACACACATACACACACACACACACACACACACACACACACACACACACACACACATATATATATATGCACTCCCTGGTAAAGGGGTTATGCCTATTACAATTCAGTCAACTTTAAAAAATGGGGAAAGTCAACTTTTTCAAGACAGCGTACTTGCGTGATGTGATGACCATCAGAAAAAAAACAGAGAGCTTTTAAGTTGTTATTTGTAAACTCATTGAGGATGCAACATTTTTACAGAAGCACAAATGCATTTGCCTAATCGTGGGTGTTCTGTTTAAAAAAACAACAACCATAAAACATCCAGTCAAAGCCAGAGGAGTAAAATAAACATACGCAAGCTGTTTTTAGGACATCTTGATTCAAAACTCCTCATCCTACAGGGAAAAGAAATAGATGGGAGGTGGGGGGGGGGGTTTGTAGGAGAGATTTGTCAGTGCAATCCCATGCTTTTAAAATAACCAACTGGGTGCATTTTGGAATCGGAAATGTGACACTGATCTATTCGGAATGAGAAACACAGTAGCTGGACTATAAATTGACTTTATTTTGTATAAATGTAATTTTTAAATGAGTTAATTCATGTGATCTCATTAAATCAGGTTGTGATTGCAGATTTTCATGCAACATTCTTGTTGGCTGTAAAAGGTCCTTTGGTTATACAGTTAAACAATTGCCTCATAATATTTCTAAAATACAATCCTCCATTTTTTGGGTCAATGTTTTAGGTTTTTATTTTTCAATGAATGTCTCTTGTTTGCATTGTAACTGACGTCGTTTTCTCTCTTCTTTTATTTAGCCACAAATTGAAGGCAATGCACAATGGCCCATTAACGAAGGAGACACACAGTGTTATGGAAAATTGAATTTTTAATTGCTTTTATACAAATAGTTGCGTCCCTAGTTGGTCTGCCCTCCCATCAAGTTTGAAATTATACAATCAAGCATTGTAAATATTTTCCTAGTTGCCTCTTTGTGAAAATGTGAGGCAAGAAGTGACTTGGTATGTAGGCTGGGTGAAAACTTGCCATTTTCAAGCAGGGTCCATATTTTCTTTAGTCTTTCAGTCTGTCAGTTTCCACATGAATGAAACCCCAAATAACGAAATGTAAATATGTATAATTGTCTAAATTAAAAAGAGCAATGAAAACGTGATTAAATTCTTCACTCAAAGAAGTAACCTTCTGCTTCTGAGGTCATCTTGTCAATATATAACCACCACATACATGCATTACTCAGCAACGTTTTTGTTTCTGTGTTATAGTTGCCTTTATTCCCGTTAGGTGGAGTTGACAGCGTGCTCGACTCTTCACAGGTGGTCATATTTGCAATATCATAACGAAATGCATACAGCACACTTAGTTTATCCTGGTTCTCCTAATTCAAATCCACGAAAAAAAGGGTTGACTCACCTCCCATTTTGGTGAAAACTTCTTCCCGGATCGTAAATAATGGCTGATGACAGCCAAATGCAGTTTATGTGCTCTTTCTCTGTCTCGCTTTCCCCCACTTACTTTGTTTCTGACCCTCACACTGAATCGTTATGTATTAATTTTTTTCTCAGGCTTGTTGACTGGCATAGCAGTCAGCCAAATATGCACCTCCCGCCCATCTCTGGTATACTTATTTATGGTTTCGGATTAATCAGTCACTGTTGTCTCAACTTGAAAAAAAAAAAGTCATTTTATGAATAGTATTTAGACAGTAACTGAGATGTATCATTTGTTTCCTGTATCATATTTTGGTTGAACTTGAATTCATTATTTAGGTTTTTGAGCATTTTGAAACAGAAGTAATGTTTGAAAAATCATGAATAAACAACAGTAGGACGAACCTGCAGATTGTTCTAATGTAGAATGAAGTCGACCTCCCAACCCAAGTTTGGGCATGTAGTATAACAACACTCGCTTATTACACATTCATCGCAAGTTATATCTTCACCAAACTAGATGGTAATAATGGATGATGGAAACGTGTTTTGGAAAGAACACAAACACGCAAGTTTGTGATGTTGACCCTTTGTCCAAAAGGAAGCCATAATATTAACATATTAAGTGCAGAAGAACATGTCCAAACGCCATTTTGTTTGTTGTGCTATTGTATTGCTTATTGTTGGAGGTAGGTGACCATTCAAAAGTATTGTTCTGATCTGCTCTAAACTCTTCCATTTTATCTCATGTGTTGACACCACCTGCTGGACATGAGTGAGTACTGAGTGGATGTTTCGTATAAGCACGAGGCATCTGAAGGATGCACAGTACTTCTCCGGTCTCATAAACCCAACTGAAACAGACCCCATTTTACCTGCGACTCAAATGAGGACAAGCGGTGCATTAAATGGAGAGCTGGATGGATGCCTTACCATGCGGCTATACAAACCTGACAATATATCCGTAGTCCAATTAATATTAACGTGGTCCCGCCAAATATTGGGATTAGTTGAAATGAAAGTACTTGATATGACATGCATCTGTATTATAGTATGCTGCTGTTAATCACATTTCATTAAAGTTGCTTATCATGATTCGTAATGTTGTTGTGGTTGCAGACTATGGCTGATTATAAGCCAACAACGGTAATTAAAAGAGGCTCCAAGCGGTGTTGACTGTCAGTCATCCTCTTGCACGCCGTTGAGAGAGACGTGAGTGAGCCTGAGGTGATGTTTGTGACTAACAAGCTAATTCGCAGCCTTTCAAGGATGCTGGCCTGAGTTGCTTGATGTTTTGGCTGCACTTCAGCGTCTAAGCGGTCTGTTATTAGCAATTGTGCCGCCTTTAACATCGCAACCACGTAGTCGTGAATTAGCAAGATGAAAAAGAGGATGGAAAGTTCTGACATTATTTCTCAAACCGGGCAGGCGTTTTCACTTATACATGTAGGCTATCCTATTGCACATTCTATCCTGTTGTGGTGGATGAGGGGACGAACACTTGGATGTAGATATTTGTTTTTAAGTCGATGTACAGCCTACTTTAAAAAATGCATCTGATTCCAGATGATTTTATTTGGTGCAGCCACTTGACCAAATCAAGTTGAACAAATTCCACACGCACATTTTTTTCTCAGCGCATAATCAAATGAAATCAAAAACAAGGTGCTGAATTTATCAATATTGACTATTGATTGAGGTATTAATTTCATCAAACACATCTAATAAATCCATCCATTCATCCATTCGGGAGCTGGGTCTTTTCCCAGCTAACTATGCGCAATGTACATGCTCAACCCCAAAAATTGAATATTTTACTACTATAACCCATATATCACAAACAAGTGCACGGTGCAGCAATACAAACACGAATGATAAAATGAATGGATGAATATATTTCTGATTGCATTCTTCATACAGCCCATAAAATCAAACAAGTTCAAAGTCTACCACAAAGGCCGAAGGCGATCACTTTCTCCGTCTGAAAAATTCCACCATTGTGTCTCTTCTTTTGTGGCCCGTCATATCACATTTTCATCCCAGAGAAGCTGATCTCTCACATCTCTTGTGGATTAGCGCTCCTCCAAAGCCCCCGCTAGAGGACACTTGACCCCGGGAGGAGGAGTGACAATAAACCCCAACTGCCCGTCTTTGCCTTCCTCTGTCCTTCGTCGTCTCCAGGGAACACTGCCAGTTGTTCCCCGACGTCAAAATGACTCATTAGTCGCGTCTGCGACTCAAACGGGCAGCGGCAAGTCTATAAAATGAGGCAATTTTTGTTCATGCTCTCGAACGCTATGGGCATGTTCACTGGATGTGCTGAAACCACGCCCCGCTCAGGTGTCGACTGTCAATCAAATACACTTAATATGTGCTTTCAACAAAAATATACTGTATATGCAAATGAAAATCATGACACTCAAAAACAAACTCCATCTTAGAGGAATAAAGGGTCAAAGATGATTTCACTTTCAATTAGCACGTCTTGTGTCCATGAAAAAAAGTCTTTGGGTTTGGCGTTCTAAACTTGCTCCATTTTCCTGGGCAGCCACTTTAACAGAACTTTGTAGAGCTTTTCGCTTTTTTTCTTTGACTTCTTCACATTCTTCACGGCTTTTCTGAGCAGGCTGAAGTTCAGCGCACGAGATCGGTAAACACGGTTGGCAGTATTTCTTCTTGTTAAGTGTAGATTAAGAACCTCCAAGAAGCACCTTTCCTGCTGCCTGAAGTCATACTCCACGCTGAATAGAAAAAAGAACATGTTAAAACAGAAACATGTTAACCACAAACCTTAGGCACAATTTAACTGGAAAAAACATTTTATGATAGCATGAAACAGGACTTCATTTAGGACCATCAATTCACAATTGACGCAACAGAAGAAGTGCTAAAGTTGATTCTGACTGCATCATTTTTTTTCATGTATGTCCACGACACAACTTCAACCTCCCAAACCTTCTTTTAAAGATAGATGAGATCAAGAGAAACAGACGGGCTCTTCATCTTCATCATCATAAGCATAAAGGTGTCTCAGCCTTTGCTTTGTAAAGCACAGGGCATTTTTTTCTGTTTGAAGAGATCAGAAGAATTTTAGATTTCCAAGCCTTTTTTTTAAACTCCCTTTTCACAAACAGAATAGCTGTCTCAGGGGATTATAATTTATCATTCTATTGCCTCTACGTGATGCAATGTTCCATTTTGAGGGTGTAATCTAATCTAATCTAATCTTTTAGATTGGTCATGTACGATGTTTTCAAAAGCATCCCATGAGCAACTCATTTGTTGGATTTAACCCTTTCATGCACCCTGTAACCTGATAACACGATAAAATGTCCACTGTTGTAACCACTGTCCCAAAAAAGGGGTGAAGAGCAAACTTTGTCAATTAAAAGTTCGAAACATCACCAACCTGTAAACAATGCAAGCCGTCTTTTGGCAAGTGGAACAGTTTTTGAGGTCCTGTCCTGTTTTGTTGTACTGCTGACTGTAAAAGACACACAAAACACATGCAGACAAGATTTATTTAGAACCACCATATGAACATCTTTTGTGGTCAGAAGTGCCGTTGGCAGCGAGGAATAGTAAACACAAATTACGCCAAATGTAAAACCAACTCTGGTCTAAAACAGGACCTCAGTACAGTCACAACATATTACGGGAGTTCTCCATTTTGGATGAGAATGATTGACAGAGACACATTGCTGGAAGCCCCTTTTAAGCTTTGTCATGTCCTAATTAAGAAACACGCCAAAAGTAATTTTGAAAGAACATGGATGAAAATATTAGCGAAATTGCCTTACTCTGTATGGTACTGTATTAGGTCCAAACTCGGGAAATGTCCTTTGACATTATAAAATGTGCATCATTATTTTATTTTTTCATTTTGTCTTTTGTTTTAAAAGACACAACACTGTATCGTGTCTTTTAAAACGGCTGATTGTGCGGAAAAATACGGGAGATATATCTCCCGTATTTTTGCGCACGATCAGCCATTTATATATATATATATATAGCTCTGTTGAGTTTGTCATATTTGCGTACACAGTAATGCTCACAAATAATTCTTCAGCTGGAAAAATACGTTGTCGGGCATTTGAATAAGGAGCCTCTTCAGAATTCAGGCCAGTGCAAATGGTGACTCACTTGACAAGAGCAAGACTGCAGGACATTCTCAAAGTATTTGTAAGACTGAGAGCACCTGACGAGAGTAGATTGCGTGAATATGTAACAGGGCAGATTTGAATCTGCATATTATATTAGAAATAAATATTGTGCTTAAATTTTCAGTGAATGATGTGAAATGCTTTTCCAGTGGAACAGAAAGAAACGGCTATCCTCACCAACGTGATTGTGGCACACATGCACGCACACCCACCCATCCACTTACCCGGGGGCAGGAGTGTGGCTGGCCTCCAGGTCATGGATGATGTTCAGCAGAGTCGTGATTCTGTCCTTGTTGGCTGCCAGACTGGCCTCCACACTTTCAAGCCGATGTTGCATGGTTGCTGATTTACCGCACTGAGGGGAAGAAAGCAGAAACTGGGCTGCTTCACTCGGGTGGGAATGGGCCAGGACGAGGTCCGCTGTGTCCCGCTTCGGGGCGCGTTTGGAATCCCGGCTGACGATTGCCTCAGCCTCGCTGGACCCCAGGCGTCGGAGGGATGCGGAATTGCAATGCGTGCAAAGTTCTCCCTCACTGCAGCGTAGCGCTGGTGCAATTAAAGACAAATTTGGCCCTTTGAGAGATTGTTGAAACGTTGATTTGTTTGACTCAAGACTCCGCGTGTGCTTGAGATCAGAATGCGCATTTCTGTTTGGCAGTGTGGAGATAATGGGCTCACGTTTCCCTTTTGAGGCTGTCGGATAATTTGGATGCTTCTGTTTATCTGCGTTTGAGTCAGTCCGACTGTTTGCATGCATGGGTGAGACGCCCGAGGCAAACTCTTCTGTATTTGAATCCATCTGCTGGGCTGTTGTTCCTGTTGGGCATGTAACACACTGTCCCTTGTGTTCTATTACTGTGCTTCCTTGATAATGTTCACCCGTTTGTTGTTTTGCCTTTATGCAACCCCGCAGACGCAAACTGTTGGACTTAATTGGGCAAATGCTACTTTGAGGGGTTGCGTCCCGTGATACGCATCCTGAATGTTGCTTTGACCCATTGCCGAGTAAATCATTGATTAGATCACCGCTCGATAGCTTTTCATCAGGATGCAATTCACTGTTCAGCTTGCTGGAAATGTCAGTTCTGTTTGGAACGGTTTGGCTCACAATTGACACATGATCGCGTTTCGAGACTTTTGACGCCCCGAGCAATGCTTGAGCTGTTTTTGAGATGTTTTTCTGATTCGGAACAGCAGGTGCAGAAGTGGGCTCGGATGTGATGTCAGTTGTTTGTGTTTGGCAAGGCTCGTCAGGACGGGGAAATGTGTTATGATTAATTGATTGGTTGTGTTCGTGTGACATATTACTTGTTTTAAGCGAAGAATTATGTGACACGCGAGAGTTGGTTTGGTTGACTTTTAAAGTAGATGAAGGGTGAATATTTGAAAAGCTCCTCAGGGCTGTGTTTCTGTACAAAGCATAATTAGTAGTTATGGAGACGGGAGCTGACATCCCCAGTGTAGAATCAAGCGTTGCACAAGATTCATTTAGAAATGTTGCCTTCCCACAATGTGTTAATTCGGAATTTGAGGACACGGGTTGTTTATTTGCATCCAGAGATTTCGGATCATGCGTGCCACATGCAATAGTAGCTTCTTTTGAGTTAACATTAGGCTTGACAGGGCAAGTTAACACCATGCTGCTGTATGAGTTTAATTTTGCTTGAGCGACTGAAGTATGGGATGGATTTATGGGCGTGGCTTGCGTTTCGGATTTCTGGGGGTCTGATAATCCGATAGGAGGTGATACTTGCGAGTCCTCTTTTGTTTTTATTTGTCGCGGCGAATGTGGCGAATTTTGGAGTATGATTTCACGCTGCGGAAATGCTGTGGTACGTTTTGTGGACATGAGTGTCGTATTGAAAGCTTGGACAGTTTTCGGGATGGTGCCTGTTGCGTTTCCTTTGGATGTTGTGTACAAATGAGATGGGGTGTTTTCTTGTGTGGCATGCACAGATACACACACCTTTTGCAGTGCATTATGATGGAATTTCGAATGAGTCTGTCTGTGCGGGTGGTTTGATTTCGTAGCTGTGGCCATAAGAGGAGTGGATGGGAGAAGTCCTTTTTGGGGGATTTTAGTGTCAAAAGGTATGTTTGTTAAAGTGTCGACAGTATCAACCTTTTTTGTATCAATGGTGGCTTCAGTGACAGTGATTGAATTAGTGTGGATGGTCTGAGAATCGGTCGAGGCGACGGAAAGTCCGTGCGTGAAAAATTGTCCTTTAATTGAATGGACCGGACATGCAGGGTGTCGTATTTTTCCATGTTTTGGTGTTTCGTAAAGATGTGATCCTTGTTGAGGGCTTGTCTCTTTTTCTCTGGAACGGGAATTCCCAGGGAGTTGATGGTTGCTTGGTTGGACATCGGTTTCATTGTGGGGCAACTGAAGACGTTTGCTGAAGTGAAGTACGTCGTGGGCCGCAGGAAATTGTTTCTCTCTTTGGCAAGCAGAAGCAGGAGGAATTTTCTTCCCTAAAATCTCCACTCCAGCTGTTCGCTTGCCTCCACACTGGTTGCAAATTTTTTGTGATCCACCGAAAGGTTTGGGAGCAGAAAACAGCAACATTTTTCTTGACTCCGTGTAATGCGTGTGCATTCTTTTTCGGTGTCCTTCGTGAGTTGGGCTCGATTCACCATTCTCAATGCTGATGCCACCCATCGCCTCTGAATCAACCACACTACCGTTAGCGTAGCGGACAGTCGGTTTTGTCCCCGGGCCAACTTTGGTTACAGTCCTTGCAGAATGTGGGGTGGCCTTGATTGTTCCAGGCGTGCGGTAAGTACGATCCTGATTGCACGCAACATCCCCCAAGGTCTCACCTACAAGTTCTTGAAAAGACACTTCCTTTTTACCTTTCAAGTCCCCACTCTTTGCCTTATCACTGTTTGTTAGCAGTAGTATCTCTTTGTACTCCTTGGTAATGTAGCTGTTGGCCGCGCGGGCACTATGAGCTGATTGCGTGTGGAGTTTATACATGAGCTGTGCGCACTGCTCTGAAGGTGCTCTCCTTATCCCCGGGGATGTTTGCACGCCAACGCTGCTGCTCTGAAGACCCCACGTTTGCAGCTGCGCTCCTCCGGTGGTGTCGCCTCCTGTTTTCCTCCAGCTACGCACTCCAACCAGGGCTGGGACGCCCAGGACTGGTACGGGAGTGGTCAGGTCAGCCGCTCGTCTCCCCATCCTCTGGCTGATTGCTTGCAACGTTTCACAATTCAAGGTGACTTTAGGATCTCTTGTGTACCATCTAATACATCTGGAAGAACAAGAGGAAGACGCTTACAGTTGCGAAGAGCTGCCTGTAAGTGATTGTGCAACGCTGTATCAAACTATTAGGAACAAAGTTATCCAAGGCAGCAAAACTTTAGGTTATAGTTGTATGAATGAACTGAACATTTGACAATGAGTTTGATCAACTGTGACTTTTGGAAATAAATGGCCTATTTTTGTGGAGCAACACACAAAAACAAAAGACAAAGCTCTCTCTCGTGCTCACAGCCAGTTCAGTCTTGGTGCAATGAAAAACAAAACAAAACAAAGAAAAAGGATTGTCATTGGGTGGGTAGTCAAAATTTACAGGTGATCCTCTGTTTACAACGGAACTAATATTCAACATTTCAAACTGACAAACATGAATCAACTACCGGTAGTTTGGATATGTGGTGAAAAGACGCAAGAAGACTTTCTTTCATTTCGCGCCATACTTCCTCTTTCTCATTAGATTCTTTAATTTCTACCTTCACGACGATGATGGCAGACACAAGTCAGCCCAAAGTATGAATAATTTTCAATCCAAGATAAAATGTATTTTTATTTTATGTATATTCCCTATACAAATGATTATGGTCTTTTAAAGTATCTTGAAAATCATTTCGTTCTTGCACTGTACGTTCTTTTCGTATTTTTTAAGCTACTTTTTATTTTTTTCCTGAAAAAAACCCTCCGTTGTTTGGAAATGCTTTTAAATATATTTTTAAATGTGTGAAACACATTGAGTTATCTTCTGTTTATAATGCACCATTTAAATAAAGCTGCCTTGCCCTTGCCTTGCCGAGGTATGACTTTGTACCAGGCAGAGTTCCCGCATGGAACACATTGCACGTTTTTTTTTTTTTTTTGGGGGGGGGGGGGTTGTAATAAAGTGCTCTGAAAAGCACTTTAAACATGGAAGCATATGTAGTCATGCTGGAAAAATAGGATAAAACCAAGCATGGGTTTTCAATAGCTCTTTCTGAGCAATATTTTAATTGTTGCGGCATTCCATTGAATGGGGTAGAAAATATCAATCAGTTTTGGCGAATACAAATATGGAAAACGGTCGATTTTAGCTGCTTGACACATGGTGATCCCTGGGCATCTCATTTTATATAATCTCCATGAAATTGCCTACTCTGTGGTTTACTCATTAATACTGAATACTTAAAAGCAATCTCTTGAGCAGCAAAACATTTCTTTTATGCTCAACGGTAGGTGGAACAAAACTGAACCTGACCACCTGAGTTATCATTAGGTGTAATTTTTGTGCATTCTAACCCTTCATAATTATACCCATGGGGTCCGTTAAAGTAGATTGCACATAAAAGGAGTCCTCCTTGTTCCACGATTTCAGATATGATAAATAATGTAACAATTGTCTATGTTAATCTAGTGAAACAGTGACTGAGGAAACTGGTTTAAAGCTATATTAGCATTTCAGACTAATGTATAGATCTTGATTTTGTGTCTGACACCAAACGGAATCATTTATTGGCAAAATAAACTGCTGGCACTTACTTAGCCCTTATGGAAAACTCGCTCGCGTTCATGGTCCACTCCTTGCATGCAACATCCAGTTTATCTTGGACAGGGGCCCACACTGATGCCATTGGTCCAGATTCAGTGAGAATTTATTAGGAAGTACACTTTCAGAGACATTGTGCAGTTTTTGTGTGTAGTGTATGGCATCTATCATTATCACGTCAGATATGTTATTTGAATGGTCTATCAGGGGATTTGCAAACTCTGGCATTGGGAACCGGAGGGTCCGCGAGTTGTGGTTTCGCCACCGCAAAATAATACGCAATAAATGATTATGTCATGTAATACCGTATTGGCCCGAATATAAGACGGCCCTGATTTTAAGACGACCCCCTCTTTTTCAAGACTCAAGTTTGAAAAATGACTTTTTGAACACCACATTAATTTTTATACAGAAAATGATTACAGTACAACTGAAACAAATGATTATAACAATATATTTGAGAGAAAAAGCATGTTATTTTGCCTCAAATCTTAATATCTGAACATTAACCGGTATATATTTTTTAAAGTCTGCATACGTTCACTGGCGCCCCATTAAAACAAACATATACAATATGAATTGGTCCCTACCTAAGCTTTGGGCCAATTCATGTTCTTATATGACTGTGACTGATCATGTAAATCTGACATCCCGTCATCAGTCTCTTCACTTCACATTTCTAGCTACGGATGAAGGAAAAACATTTAAATATGTCAAGTCGTGCTCACCGGCTAAACAGAGAATTCTTTGGACCGACATGAAAAAAAACCTGATATATAATTCCTTATTAGTGGTATATATGTTCACTACCATCACGTTTGAGAACCACAGTTGTCTCTTGACAACACCAGTAGCCTTCAAGAGGACAACCTTTCACAAGTGTTTGCATACAAGCAGGAATTCGTCCATGAAATATAACGTATAAACAGAATGTGCGCTTGCAAGAGTTGATATCCATGTCATAACTTTAACAAGAATACATTCTGACAAGGCTCCTCTCACCCTCACCCTCCTCTTCATCCTCATCACTGACTGCCATCCAGTCATGTCAGAACTGCAGAAACAACATCGAGTCGGATATCGCTGCAGGGAATATTAATTTGGGTGGCCGGTACTTGAACTCAGACGAGTGACATGTATGTGTTGTCACCGAACAACTAACGAAAGGTTATAGAGATGGAAACCAGCTCTTTGCAGAGTCAAGACCTAACTTCATGCAATACCGTATCCTTTTATTAAGAGTCGGCTTAAATGTCATACCTGATGGATGTCTGCATACGAAGAAAGTTTGCACTTTCTCTTCGTTGTCTTCCAGAGTCCGGGAGATGTACGGCTTAAAACTGTTCAAACTCAGAGGATGTTTGCAGGTATCCACTCCTGCAAGGTGAACCCTGTTTTCAAACATTCAAATTCCGACTGACTCAATACCATATTGATCAGACCGAGTCCATTCCAAATTTCATCTACCTTGACTTTATGTTGGTACTTCTCTTTGCTGGCGTCATGAACTAAATGCTACTGTATGCTGCCCTCCAACACACTCTCGGTCTCCAGTTGCTTGTATCTTCTCTCTCATTCGCTCCCTTTCTATGATTGCCCTCACAGTCCTCTCACCTCTCAGCATCCAGATCTACAGCTGGGGGGAGATTTAGGGGTGTGGGGGTAACAGAGAGAGAGAGAGAGAGAGAGAGAGAGAAAGGGGAGGGAAGTGACTTGCATCAGTGGGATAGGGACCGTGTCTAAATTACCATGCGTAAGAGATGGGAAATGCCTTCATTTGAAACAAAAATGAACATCCACACAGATCCAGAAAACCTGTGATAAAAAGCAGTGAATCTGAAAAAAAAAATCTCTAAATGCTCTTTTTAATAAATCTAACTGAGAAGAATTTGGTCATTACATGTGGACGACATCTCAACCAGATTGTTAGGGTTTGAGTTTCTGTATTTTATGGCTATTTGAATCGTCGTTTGTTCACGTCTATTATGATTGCAAAAAAAAAAAAAGAAAAACTTTGTGAAATGGTGTAATGTGCCTACACAAGAATACACCTTGCATTTTGATACAAATGAGGTTTGAGTCACAAAGGAACTGCTCCTTCTGCCCTAGAATGCAAATATAAGAGCCTTGTCCGTACGACGACCTTTCCCTACTGCCTGTTAACCAGAAAGTAGCTAATTTAATGACTTGTCATTTGACACGTGATTAACACATTAAACCCCCACCACACTCCATATGGAACACATTCCTCTCACAAATGTTATTAATTTGTTTGCGTAACTCAGGCAATTAAAATATATGAACACAAACATTTCTTCAAGATGGATTTGCAACTGCTCGTTGCTTCATCACTTTACCATTTCAGATTCTGTTTTTTTCAGGTGACCAACACTTTGTTTTCAAACCCCCATTTTGTCCGCCGACAAATAGCACACATCGACGCTGCACCCGCCCAATTAGCTAGCCATTTGTTAGCAGTTACCTCTCCTGTCGCTGAAATTATTAAACCTGCACTCACTGCACTGAACAAGGTTTTATATGACACTTTTGTGTGTTGTCTTCATTAGAGCTGGCTCATATTCTCTTACTACAGATGTGGGGAGCAATAAAGCTTCCTTGGTGCATGGAAAATTGTTCCTTAGCCCCATGGTGAACACATAATAATGTAGCACTGAAAAATGTTGAGCCTGGCATTATTTCCTGGGTACAACTGTACACTGTAAATGTTTACTGTCTGTAACTGTTTATGTGGATCACAATTAATCATCCTAATAGCTTGTTTTTCTTTTGAAGAGTAGGCATGGTCAGTTGTTTTTTTTCCTTCTTTGCTATATACTGTATATATATATATACATGCTATATATCTATTATTAAACAAACCTTACCGCAAGGGTCTTCGGGCAGTAGGCGGGGGACACTCTGAACCGGTTGCCAGACAATCACAGGGCACACACAACCATCCACGGTAACACTCACAGCAGGCTATTCATTCAGCTTGCCATGCATGTTTTTGGAATGTGGGAGTAAACCGGAGTACCCGGATAAAACCTACGCAGGCCCCAGGAGAACATGCAAACTCCACACAGGGAGGCCGGAGCTGGAATTGAACCCGGTACCTCTGCCATGTGAGGTCCACGCGCTAACCACTGGACCACCGGGCCGCCCTAGTCTGAGTAAGATTCCATTTTAATGATAAAACCTGCAAAGATTTTATGAGTAAGAGTTCGTCTAGTCTGAAGTCGAGTGAGAGCCTGGCCGGAGCAACTGGCCCCCCGATTGAACGTATGATCCTGTACACATGCATGATATAAATTTATTGCAGGAGGAATAACAGCGTCAATCGGTCTTCTTCACGTCTAAGGACATGATTCAACTGCAAATAGTAGACAGTATCTGGCTTATTAACACCAGTAGATGTCAGCATTGTAGGAGAGATGGACAGTAGAAGACTGGGGAAAACCCATGCAATATAATATCAAGGCCGGGAATGTGCTTCGGTCTACATACAGATGGCGCCCACACAACACACTTAGTCGTAGACGCCCCCTCACAGACGGTAATTAACATGAAAACCCCCATTGTTCAAATGGAGGAGAGGATTAGCCTCCCATGTGAGTGCGAGCGTCCTTGAATACCCAGCAGCTTGTGATGCAGATGCACATGCTGATCATTTATTTGAAAGCCATGCTTTTAAAATCGATTATTTTGATGGAGTGGTTCATTTTTATCAGGGCTTGACCGTCATATTATTTCCCGTCGACAGTATTTGAAACGTTTTAGGTGTAAAAATAAACATCCACCTGTTTCCAATATATGATGTGCTGTAAGTGTTTTTGGAGAGGAAAAGCTCTGTTCTTTGAAGTATTGATGTCGCCTCAAAAATATGTTGCATAATGCTACATTTTATGATTTCACTAAAAAAAAACAACAATATCTGAGAATTACTGATGACATTTTACTGACGCATCGACCTCACAGTGCAGAGGTACTGGGTTCAATTCCAGCTCCGGCCTCCCTGTGTGGAGTTTGCATGTTCTTCCCGTGCCTGCGTGGGTTTTATCCGGGTACTCCAGTTTCCTCCCACATTCCAAAAACATGCATGGCAGGCTGAATTGTCACTAGGTGTGAATGTGAGCGTGGATGGTTGTTCGTCTCTGTGTGTCCTGCGATTGGATGGCAACCGGCTCAGGGTGTCCCCCGGCGACTGCCCGAAGACAGCTGGGATAGGCTCCAGCACCCCCCGCGACCCTTGTAAGGATAAGCGGATCGGAAAATAGATGGATGGATTTCACTGACGTCACTGCACATGATTAATCATTTTTGCTGCTCTATATACCCTGGTGAATTGAGAGGCGTCTTGACATAATATACACGGTGTTCTACAGAAACACAGTGTATTTTTTTCAACAAAACAAAAAGTATGGTCTAATTCAGTCTGAGTTTCACCATATGCGGAGAACTGAACAGGAGACAGAATCAAAACTCGAGTCAAAAGAAAGTTTGATATTTAAGAAAAAACTTTATTTGTGACTTATTAACAAAACACATTACCAGGTTGATGAACTCATTAGAACCACTATAATCACCTTAACAATAAGCAGGTGTACAAAATTAGTTTATGAACAGATCTGCACTGTCACAGTCGACTAGCATGTGTCACTCACTGTCACACCCAGTGACTGACAAATATTCACTATACACTAGCAGAGAATACATCAACTTGATTTTTTTTGGACATTTTATCTATTTTGGATTTTTTTTTTATCCTCTTTTTCATCCGTTTTGTCTTCATTAAGCAAGGAATGGTTATGGAGGGTGCGCACATGAGCTCACAACAGTGTTTGTTTGATCATTTCAAAGGTTAACACAAGTTTAACGGTCAATTTTCTTACCAAATAAAACCATGTGCCAAAAAAAAAAGTATTTCATAGCGTAACACAATGGCATCATGAATATATAGACGAGCCAATGCTAGTTTTGCAGGATTAAAAAAAAAAAAAAAAAGTGATCCTTTAAGGTTTTGCCACAAATTGCAGTACCGTTTGTATTGTGTTGTGTATGCATGGATGTGTATTCAGATTTGTGGTTTCCAATACACATGTCCCAGTGGAACAAAAAAAAAAGTATAGGTATATATAGTACTTTTATAATATCTGTTTCCTTTGCTTATTACATGCAAACACTTGGTGATCTGACAGCACGGAAGTACATCTGACGGATGGGCGGGGATGGGTTGAGGAAAAACGTGAGCATGGTTGATTTTGAGCATGATAGCAGTGCCGGCAGCGACTGGAAATAGGAGAGTTCCAGAAAAGTAACACGAACAGAGATGAGACATCCCCAGTTGCATTGCCTTCAGCTCAAACAGCACATTTTCTCCCATACTCGGCCAAGATTCCTCAAGTAAGGGCAAAATAAAATCTTTTTTTTATACATTTTTTATACACTAGCAAAACGGCTAATAAAAAAAAAATACTGCTTATTTGCAGTAATCGAGCAAATGTAAAATAAGAGGGTTTTTTTTTTCTTTTTTTTGCTTATTAGGTTCAAACTCTTGTTGGCGTTCACGGTAAATACCATAGCTTCCAACTTCAAACTTTTTCAGATGTTCCAGTAACACATTGCAATGGATGAGACACAAGTATTCAACACAACTTCCTCTGATGACATCAAAAGGGAAATATGTGAATGTTTGACAATAGGTAGCACAGTGTCCTCCGTTTATGAATATGCAACAACATGACACGACTGTACAATCCCTTTAGTGGGGGGGATGACTTTACAGATGTTATTCCCGACAAATGTCGATTCGGGTAGATGGGAAGAAGGAGAGAGGAAACGAGCAGCGGGCAAGCACGTCCAACAAGCACTGAAGCAGTCGAAGCGGTGGTGATGAACTTGAAGAACATCTACTTAACATTCAAAGACAGAAGAAGAGGCTTGAACAAGAAATGTTCCTGCTTGACAGCCTTAGAATACAGTCTCATCATTAAGAATGCCGTTGACCCTCAGATTTTGGAGCTTAAAAGAATAGGGCGCAGATTCGATATTTTTGCAGCACTGAGAAGAAAAAAAAAGCAGCGTAGTAAGTATACAGCTTATGTCGGGGAGTCTGTGTTTACTCTAATAATGGACGTCACAGATTGAGTGTGGTGGCGCACAACTGGTTTACAATGCGGCACGAGCGTACAAGAGGCAACAACAAAATTGTCAAGCGAACAAGAAAGCTGGCGCAAATGATACCAAGTCACATCATCGTACTGGTGGAAATTAAAGCATGGGGTTTTCAATTTACATTATACCGGATTTTTAAATGACTGGTGCTCGTTTTGAATGCTTCCAAATCATTTTTGCAATTTGCTGATACTTTTCTCTGTGTACTATTTTGGGTAAAGTTCTCATTTAGTTCTGTTCAATACAGAATGAACATTCTGGCACTCATCTTTCCTTTTTTGTATTTATTAATGTATTTTTTATTTTCAACCGATGTTTAGATTGCCCAAAATAATCTAAACATAAAAGCTTTTTTTTTTTTTAAATGGGTGTACTCATCTTATCAAATTGTGTGTGTTGAAAAACCAATTGAACAAATGCCGAGTTGAGGTTGATAGACCGAACGTGAATTTAATGGAATAAATCAAGAATATCTCTTTTCCAATGTAGCATGATGTAGGCCGATTTAAAAAAAAAAAAAAAGAAAGAGGAATTGGTATTTGTAAAGGATGGACAGAGAAAAAAAAACTATAATATGATCTCATCCTTTATTAGTCCAAAAAAATGGACCATTGACAAACCACAAAATCAAGAATATCTCTTTTCCAATGTAGCATGATGGAGGCCGATTTAAAAAAAAAAAATGAGGAATTGGTATTTGTAAAGGATGGATAGAGAAAAAAAATACTAAAATATGGTCTTATCCTTTATTAGTCCAAAAAAATGGACCATTGACAAACCACGAATCAAATTTCCTGACAATGACTTGGACCATTTAGCAAACTGATACTGGTTTCCCGATTGGGTATTTTTAGTTAACGTTGTAATGCTAAAACAGGCTAGATCCTGAATAAATATTTAGTAGTACAATTAAGTGGAGTAAATTTCAAACAAGTTGTGAACATTAACCTGGGAATAAACTTCGTACAGTTGTCGCAACCCAGTTTAGGTCCTTAACCTCGTCACTGTGCTATGTTATACTGACAGATATTTCTTGGTTGACGTTCTTGTCGTCTGGGCTTAGGTCCTTAACCTCGTCACTGTGCTATGTTATACTTCTTGGTTGACGTTCTTGTCGTATGGGCCACCTTGTGCAAATAATCTCAGTGTCTGCATACCAGTTATTTCTTTACAATGTTTTCATGAGATGGTTTTTTTTTTTGTTTTTAATAGAAAAGATCACATTTGCTGAATTTCTAAGATGTCTACTTACTACTGATGAAAAAAAGTCCTATTTTTCAGTTTGGCTTTCACTTTATTCTTATATCTAGATGAGCGTGTGAAGAACGAATGACTTCGAAGGCGCCAACACAGGCATCCTTCGCTGACAAAAGTCAGGCACAAATCACTTTATTATTATTTTTTTCTAAATTTTTATGGCATTTTGATTTTAATTAAAGAAATTTGGGGAGGCATTGATGGTTTTCCGAACTCCCTCAAAAGCCATCTGACTGTACATTTGAATAGAATGAACTTATACCGGTCAAAGTTGAAGGCCAAATGAGCCATCCAAGAGAGGAGCATTTGTTGAGCAGGTTTGCTTTGTGCAGCGAGCCAGGCTCGGCCTAATAGGCGATTGGCGACTGTACAATGTTAAGTATGCGATGTATTGTAATGCATATGCCGCAAATAGACTCCTTCATTCATAGTGATTTGGCTTTTTGGCCCTGTAATCGGGATGGCATCTTAACAGCTTCCATTCACCCCTCTTTAATCATCCCCTCCGTCATCCTTTCCTTTCTCCTTCTTTTCTTTCTTATCCTTCTTCTTCTTTTTCTTCTTCTTGGCTTCCTCCTTCTTGCCGAAGCTGATAAAGTCCCCTTTGTCGTCAACGGGGCCGGGGTCATGGCGGATAGAAATGATGGCCGGGGATCCGGGGATGATGAAAGCTTCGGGAGGAATCTCGCCAGGCTTCAGGCCCTGCGGCGGGCAGTAGCTTTGTCCGGCTCCGTATCGGAAGTGCCAGCTGTTGCTGTTGACACCAGCGCCTACTGGAGGGGAGAGCTCTCCGCCACCCTCTCCATCTATACAGATAGATACAAAAATAGAAGATGTCAAATCAGCTGTACGTTCAATGTTACATACACTCAAGAGTGATTATCCCGAAAAAAAGATTTGCTTTAAAATCATTTGGATGGTTTGCTGATGTCTCGAACCATCCATCAATCACACTCTCCCCTCATTCCCGCACATGTATATTCTGTCTTTCTCCAGCTAATCTTCATTCCTCTCCTTCCCAGCACATGCCTCCACCTCTCGAAATGTTCCTCCACCCGACCCCCCGAATGCTGTCACTGACGACCACAATGCCATCTGCAAACATCATGGTCCATGGGGATTCCAGTCTAACCTCATCTGTCAACCCAGCCGTCACTGTTGCTAACAGGAAGGGGCTCAGAGCTAACCCCTGATGCAGGCCAAGCGCCACCTTGAACTCCTTTGTCACATCAGCAACACATCTCATCACAGCTCCCCTTATATACGAATTGTAGTGTTCTAACATACTTCTCTGCCAATCCCGACTTCCCCATGCAATACTATATCGATCCTCTCCACCTAGCCTGTTATAGACTTTCCCTCGATCTACAAAAAAAATGCAATGCAGCGCTTTCTGACCTTCCCAGTACTTCTCCAAAAAGACATTTCATCCGATACGTAATGTAATCCAATAGGCATGAATAGAAAATTAAAAATGAAATATTTTAAACCTTTCAGGGACAGCGTTTACTACAGTGGACTGCTTATCATGTTATCAGGTTACAGGGTGCATGAAAGGGTAAATTCATACAGATCAACTTGTGAATTTCAAAATAATGTGTATGAATAAGTCACAGTGTTATTTGATTAATTTCATTTCTATGCGTATTTCTGACTTCCTGTTACTGCCGGCTTTCGATCCCAGGGTATGGAACCATCAGTCCAAATTTGCCATTCAAACCACCTCGTCTAAGGCATTGGCATACTGGAACTCATAAGTGAGACATAGGGTATGACGGAAGGACATGACATACAAGGAATATTACTTGTTTCTTGATATAAAATGCTCCATCCACTCCAAACTCAATCTTGTGTTTGTGGATAGTGATAACGATTAATTTGCAAAATGAATAGCATTGGAAGAAATCAGACATTAATGTCCTGTTATTGTAATCGATCATTATTGCAAAGGAATCTTGTTTTCCTGGTATGTAGCATCCATTTCTGCATAAAAAAAAAAAAAACAAGACAACCGTTCAAACGATTCGGATCAGGTAGAGCTGTAATAGAAATAAAGCCAAAACGTAACCGATCATATCGAGCGAATGTGAGCCGGTGAGGTTAAAAGGTCACAAAAGCACAAATGAAAAAAAAAAAAAAAAAGCAAGGGAATGTTAGATGAGATCCAGTGAGATGCAGCCAGCGAGAAGCAAAGCAGGAAAGGAAGATGGGGGCGGGGGGGTGGAGGCAGTGCAGACACGGTGCTCTTCAGGCCCACACCAGTTCTCTCTCTGCTCTGACCTACTTTCCGGCAGGATTTTATTTAGATCAAACAAGCCCTTGCCAAAAGATTCTTTTTGATTTTTTCTTTGTAGGCTATTTATGACATTACTGGAATGCTGAAATGGTTTCAACTACTCTCCCCCTGGGAAGTACGCCGTTACACGTGGTCTGGTATAAATCTCGGCCCACATTTTGAACGAGTTCATCAAGTCAATTACATTCATGCACCTGGACCAACCCCACGACAGTCGCCAATTTGGCATTGTTGACCAGTCAAAATATTGTTATAAAAAGCACCCTGACAAGAGCGGGCACCGATTTGGACCAGTGTAACTCACTTTTCACGTCAACACGTTTTGTCGATATTTAGGTGGAAAAGGCAGTTTTAGAAACTTTAGTGACATGTGAACAAAAATGACTTTTTATTGTATTCATACATCATCAAGTAAGCTTTTTAGTACAGTATCAGGAGAACAAATATATATAAAATGAAAAGAAAATGTATAAATATTGAAGAGAAACTAAAATATGGTATGCGTATTTGGATTTCTTTTCCACAATGTGCTAAAACGACGAGCAAGTAAGTTAATTACTCCATGTAAATGAGCTTGTTAATGATACGTCAGTGTCAGATTAGATGATTTTATCTCCCCATTAGTCGAGTAGGTCCCGTAATACTGTAAGGCTGTTCTGTTTTTGAGGATTATGACATTTGGCGGTATGCATTTAATCCAGCTGTTAATCCGCAGAAGGGGCCACTAGCGCTTGAAACATTGGCGGTCTTGTTCCATTGCTATTCAATGGCCAGCGAAGAGGAATTTGCTCACCCTGACACTCAATGCCTGAAATGGTCACGGTGAAAGCAGAATCACGAACCATTCTAGACTGTTTTCGCTTCAAAGATAAACAAATGAAAGACATCAATTCTGTATTACTTGGAGACACAGAACAGATTACAGGTATCGAAGTAATGAGGCCCTTATTGAGTTCTGTTGCTTGACATCGGTTAGCAGGAAGATTTTACTCGTAGTAACACGAGCAACCCACGCGGTACCGTAATTCTGCTTTCCTCGGATGTGCCTGCCGCAGCATTTGATATTCGAATGTTGAACCAACTGAGGCAAAATGTCAAGTGGCTGAGTTTAATCAAGTGAATGTTGTCCGAGTGTCTTGAGACGTTCCCGTGCTTCCGGCGGTGGCTCTGACAAATCTTGTCAGAATCCAGGCACAGGTATCGATAAGAGATCTTTCCGTGCGTGTGTTTCGCCTGCGAAAACCGAGTATTTGTAATTCTGCCACTGGTTCATGCCTGCCTATATTTCACAGACAATGCACATCGGAAACGGATGAAGGAGAAGGTGCAGCTAAACCGGGCTGCATGAGTCCTTGATGTGGTTGCCATGACACCTGCTGCTGATGAGTGGCAGATTGAAACCGTGCATTGTAACCTCATGTCCTACATTTGAAATAGGCAGATCGTTTCCTACCCAAAGCCATCATACTTTTCTGTCTTGATGGTGCGCAGCGTGCACGTTACAAGGATGGCGTTAATTCACCGCATGGTGTCACATCAGATATATATTTTGCATTTTCTCCAATGCTCTTTCTTTATTTTCTTTCCTTCTAACTCTCCTCGTCGCCGCTCTATCCTCCTCCTTTTTGGTCTCTAATTCTTCCATTCAGAGGTATGGCTGGTTGCCATGGGAACAGCCTTCACCCACTCCCCGCTGATGGAGGGTGCGGCTGCTGCAGCAATTTCTCCGTTAGACAGTGTTGCCAGGCAACAAGTCACATGGTGTTCCCTAGCAACAACATTACTGCAGGAACTTGCCAATCCTCTTAACCTTTCTCATTCTCCATCCCACCAGCACCCCAAACCTGCCCCCACCCCTCTTTTGTACCTCTTCTTAGCTCTTCCGCTCCTAAATTACTTCCAATATTAAGAGGTCTGTTTTTTTTTTTTTTACCGCAGACTCATATCACTGATAATAGCTTTTGTCATCGTCTTCATGGCATGAGACAAATGTCTCCTCTTTTGGGCCACTGGGCCAGTTATATAAACACAGTTTTGAGGAGGCTGCAATTTAAATTCATCACACCATGTTAGACAAATTCATCACGATAACGATTCACTGCAGACTTTTCATTAAAAAAAATAAATAAATAAAACTTTGCCTTTTGATGCATACGACAAAGGATCAACCTGCAAGCCGGTGCGTCAATATGCTTCCGTATTAAATCACCACTAACAAAATAGTTTCCTCATGCAACAATGCACACTGGATACGCAAACTGCTCCCTCTTGAAAAATGACTATTCAAGGATTTGCATGGCCAACAGAAGCAGATTTCCGTTTTAACAAATACATGTTTCTCTTCAGTAAATCAACACAGAATCTGCGATTGCATTTCGAACACATTCTTCCATGACAGTATTTTTACACCTAAATATGCCTTGAGTGAGCTACAGCACGGCATATTTTACCACTGACTCACCAAGTGTGTGACTGTGACCAAATGTCTCACTATGGAGGCTCTACCTCTGCTCTAATTCCTAATATCAGACAGAAAATCAATGTGTAATAGGCCGAAGGAAGGAATGAAACAGATCACAACATATGTTCTCTTTTGAGCCAACAAAAGCTGTTTCTCAGTCATTAGCGCTTAGCCAGTGTGTGTAAATAATGAAGCACAAGTCACCTTTGAGGTCAGCACTATTTACATTGCTTGTGTTGCCACAGATGTTCAACTTTACCACCCACACAGTGCAAATCAAATATGTAGGAGCACACATGACCCCAATGGCCTACTAAATTAAAAAAATAAAATAAAATAAAACAAAAAACTCCATAACCAGAAAGCATGGAAGAGAAATCGATTCTACAGTTGGTTGCAGAAATATTTTGAGCAGAAAAATTATTTTATGGAAATGTCTATGGAATTTGTTGAGGCAAAACAATTATAAAATATATGAATTTACAAATGCCATAGAGCTCCGGGATTTGCCTGTTGAGCAAAAGCAGTATATTGTAGTATAAAGTACAAACCCGATTCCAATAAAGTTGGGACATCGTGTTACGCTTAAAGAAAAACAACTTTCTTGTTTATGGCAAATAATCATGAACTTCGAATTTTACGGCTGTAACACGTTCAAATCTCCGACCTTCTTTGGAATTGGATTGATCAAAGGTTGCACTCCATTGGCACTCAATTGCATCTTTTAATCCAATCCATCAATAATCCTTTATCCCAACAATTAACTTGATTGAGAGGAGTAAAGGATTTCCTATTTATTCAGTTTCAGGTCAGCTTTAGTCATGTGAAAGTCATTTGGTTCCCATGCATGATGAGTTTCCTGTCATTACTCTGCAAAACTACACTTTTCTCATGCTCTTTCTCACCTGCAGCACTGGACACAGTGGGCCAGTTCTGGACCAGCATGCCCTGGGCTCCCTGCATCACAGAGGCCTCCTCCATGTGGACCGAACTGCAAAGCACAACACAATAAGTGAGAGGCATGCAATAAAGAAGTGCTATTAACAAGTTATTAATAGATTTTAGTCCTGAATATTCATTCAACCATCTCTAACAGACTGGATATGTTTTGGGTTAGATCTGCTACCAATTATGTGTAGAGTTCAGCAGCATGAACCCTTTCATGCACCGTGTAACCTGATAACACGATAAGCTGTCCACTGTAGTAACCGCTGTCCCTGAATGGGGTTAAATATTGCAGTGTCCAACTTCAGTTTTCACTCACGATATTAGGCATCGGTATGCATTATTTCATGAAACAGGCAGTCAATTTGTTGCTTATTGGTGGCCATGAGCCTACACAAAACAATGTAACATGTTTCAAGGCGTTTTTTTTTTTTTTTTTGCTGCCATAATTATCGCTACTGATGACCGTGGTGAGACAACCGAAAAGGCCAAATGCCTTCATAAGCCACTACATGCCCAAACTGCTGAGATATGAGGATAATTCACTCATGATGGCCCAGCTTTGGGCAATGGTGTTTGTTCCGCTTCTTTCAGTGACTCTTTGTTGGATCGGGTTGCGCTAAAGCACAGAGCACCTGCTTCACAGAGAAAGATTTCTAGCAGCAAAATGACTGGTACATTAGCGTCATTATTTCAGTGTTTTATCCAGTGGCTTGTTCATTTAGCAATTGTTGTGTTAGATTATACTCAGAATTTAGGTTGACATTTTTAAAATAGTGAATTGGATGTCAAACCCAGACCAAATGAAATCACCCAAAAAAGCATTTGAGGTCCTGCAAACCCACATGATATAATCTAGTCTGCATCTTCCATGGCCAACATTTTCCCTTCCACAATGACACAATTAGCTAAGATATCAGAAAAGTGGCCCAACTCTTCCAGGGCCATCTGCAATGCAGTATATGCAGAATCTGTTAAGTGCAACAATTACGTTGGGGAAGGATGTGGCATGAATACAAAATTTCATTCGGCGTTCCCTCTCAGGAGTGTGATGAATGTTTTGCTTTTACGTGCTAAAATGCTGCTTTACTTTGTCACGGTATGGCACCAACAAAACGGGTGTGGTTTGTTTATTCCCCCCTGACTGATTATTCCAGAAATGTGGGTCAGTGAATTTGGTGCCCCATGCAAAATGTGTAAAGAGTAGAAGATTACAGGATGCCTGTCTTGGGGTTAAGTGTTAATGAGAGCATCTCTCCTGTCCATGAACATTACAGGCTATGACATCTTCGAGACGGCGGCAGCAAATTGCAGTGATGGTTTCTGTTAATCCACATCATGTGACCGTCACTGGTGACATGATGCACATTAGGATATTTCCACGCCATAGAAATTAACACTAATTTCCAATTAAAGTAAACTTGAATGGAGCCGAAGAGTGTGCAAAAGAGCAGTCAGCATTGTTAGCGTGAAATTATGAAAATTTAGAGCAAAGGAGAGGCATGTGGAAGAAATAAAACCCCTCATTAGTCTGAGGTTCCAGTTGTCCTCGGATCACATTAGCGCAGCGCTTGATTCCATATATTTTTGCATCTTTTTGTAGCCTGATGATTACAAAATTCAAGGGCCAGACGCCGATGAAAACAACTCGAACTGTATTCAAAATGCTTTGGTTCGTTGCTAATGAGATGCTAATGCTCGCATGAAAATTCCTTCATTACCCAGACAAAGATGGGAAATGTTCTGTTCTCTATTCAGACCTTATATAAACTCATAACCGCAGTCTTGGAAACGTGTTTTCGTCGAAATTATTTTGAAATAAGACCGCCTAATGACGTTTTAGATGCAAGTATTTTGATGATGCTGCACCCTATTCCATTTTTTTTAATCTACTTGTACTTTGGATTGAATGAAACTCGTGTGGGGATTTGTTGAAGTTGAAAAACATCATTAAAAAAAAAAAACTCATTGCATGCAAGCACATTTCGTAAACAACAGTGAGTATTGAGATTCGCGCTTTATCAGTCATTTCATCAATCTCGACTTGTGTGTCTTAATTCTCCAAGAATGTTAATTCTTCAGCATGCTAAAAATAACACAGAGTATCCATTCAGAAGAACATCCTGTTCTGTTCCAGCACACACTGTACCCCTGTGTCCAAAGTAAGGTTCGGATTTTAACAAATCAGTGACACTTTTTTTAAGCCAAGTTTTCATATTTGAACCTCACTGAAAATTCCCTGAAATGTAATTTTGAATACATGTTCAAGATTTTCTTCAGTTACATTTACTTCGTTTAGGTGTAACGCCCAAGTGTCCCAATAATTCATCTAGCATATTAGCAAGTAGAACTGCAGTCCGAAATGTCCCATTCTGTCTGTGTTAACAACTTCACACCTCCAGAAAAAAAAAAAAAAGTGTATAAATAAACACAGCGCTTGCAGGGTAGTGGTATGTGCAGACACTGACGTGCGCGTACATCAGCTAATCTGCAAAAGGTCATAACTCATTTGTCCTTCATGCTTCCTGCTTAAAGGCTCGAACTGGGGGGGTGATGCTCAGAATGTAAATGGCCTATATATTGTTACAATGCAGAGAAGATTCACTGCATTCACTGATGAGAGATGCCTTCAAGGAGTTAGAGGGCTTTTGGGTTAAAAGAGATGCTGAGGGTCAACTATTTAATCTTGACAGTGGCAAATTCTGGCATGAGGCGTTATAATGTAATTCTGGTTTTGGATGGCTGTGTGTTGTTATGTTGGAGTTTACAGAGAGATGACATACACGTGTAAACAACCTAAGCTGCTTACGTTGGAGCTTTTTATTGAGACCAGAAGTGGAAGAAGTTGCACAACATGATGACATACACGTGTAAACAACCTAAGCTGCTTACTTGGAGCTTTTTATTGAGAGCAGAAGTGGAAGAAGTTGCAAAACAGTGACTTACCTCTGCATCCCGGCCCTCAAAGACGCAGAATATCGCCAGTCAGCGTTCGGGGCTTTTGGCTGAGCGTGCAAGAGGTGAGTGGGAAAGCAAATGAGGGGGAGATAGAGAGACATGGGGAGAGAGATAGCGCCAAAGAGAGTTTAGTTCAATCTCATACAGTGCAGAGTGAGGCCGGGCTACAGCCTCATCAATTAATAATGATACGCATCCCTGCTCTGGATGTGATCGGAGCGCGTGCGCGCACACACACACACACACACACACACACACACACACACACACACACACACACACACAGGCATACATATTGATATCAACCGGAGCATAAATGCTAAATCACACGCATGTGCTAATTAAGGTTAGTGATTGACTTTTGGAGTTTTCGTTTTTGCCTTCCAAGTCCTGGAAATGACGGAGACAGGCATGTTCTGGTCTTTCTGGTTCGTGAGTATGTCGTGTTCCAGCGGACTTGTGGTAAATTATTGCCCATAAAAATAATATGCAAGAGACATCATTGCCCTGGTAACCACACCCTGTGCCTCTGGTCTGAAGAGAGGGCTTTGAGAGGCGATTATGCGATACAAGTTTGTCTCACAACCTACACACTATAAAGGCGGAATGAATACGTTGACGTAGATTAAATGATTTTTTTTTTTGTAGACTGAAAGGAAAGGCATTGACTTAATTTTGAAAAAAAATATATGAATGTATCTTTCGTAAAAGCTTGATACGGTTTGAGACGACTACCCCTTTAAATTCTGTGAAGACGAGTTTAATGTGTTTAATGAGCTTCTTTATTCACGGACATTCATTTTGTTTGGCCCTTTCAGATTAATTTTCAGTGTGAGTAACTGTGCTACTGCACACATTCATGACTGAATGCCACTACTAAACTTGTTTCGGGTCAACACTTCATGGATAGTAGATGGGGGTTGCGACATTGTGTCTCAAAAACACCTTGGTTAGCGATACAACTGCTCAGGCAGTCGCAAGTGTCCCAGATAAAGACGGCACAAATGTTCTGTCGCTATAATTCATAAGGGAGTCTTTTTGTGCTCATAGACACAGCCTCTTTGCCGAAATCTAATTTGCAGGGCTGAGCAACAGAGGCTGTAGGTTAATCAAATTTCCTTTGCTAAACTTGACTCAGTGAAAAATTTCCTCAACATGTCACAGATGGTAAGAAAATGGAATTGGATCACTGCTTTATCGAGATCCTTAAGAATAGTGGCCTAAACTTCCAAGCCTACCCAAAATGTAAACTGTGTTATACATCAATTCATAACATTCTTCTCATTAAGAATTGTTTATCATGTGCGATTTGATTGACTTAAATCTCAAGCATGGAGTCAAGGTTCGTCAACCCACCCGATATATAAAACACTATATTAAATCTTCATAGTCAAATTGAAAACACTGATGCAATATTTCAATGAAAACAGAATCTCAAAAGTTGCGTGATGTCATCATCATTGAGTTGCTAATTGCGTCTTATATCCTTAGAGCAAATTAGCCAAACCGGGAGGCCTGATCTTAATTTTGCTTGACAGCACGTCTTGTCGTAGGCCTAACTTTTACTGAGTCAATCAACTGCGCGAATCCAACTCGAAAATCTTCATTCAGACACACACATGCACTCTTAGTTCAAGCTCACTTGGTCAGATATCAAGAGCGAAGAAGTAAAGGCAACATGACCTCGTCTGAGAGTGGATGTGATGACGACCTCAAATGGAGACACAAATCTCTGAATCATCAAAAATCACACAGGGATGTAGAAAAGCATCAGGACTGACGTTAATGCAGTGTGAGTGCTGAGCCGGGCTAGGCTGAGAGACTGCACGGTATAAGGGGAGAACTGAACCAAAGCGAACGAAGCTAAGCACTGATTCAGTTGTTGGCTTCCGTGCCGGAGGGGAGCAATACGAATGTGTCTCAAATGGGGACATACACAGTACCCATCTAAAATTAAAATAACTTAATAAGAGCATCTTGACCAGTAATAAACGGTTCCACCTTCAGCTGGACTAAAGTTGAGTAAGTACTTCGAGGTTGTCGTGAAAATGCACATTTATAGCTACAGACATACCTCCGGGCAGATTTGAAGTGAGGCATCCGGCATGCTTAGCCTTCGTACGAAACCGCTTCCACTTGTGAAGAAACGATCAGCACCGCTGCCCCAGGTGCCACTGATGGGCCTTCCTGTATTGTAGAACATGAAGGTGTCACTGCCCGAGGTGGCCGTCAAGCAGGTCTTGTAGCAGTAAGTCTTTGTTAGCGAGCCATTCCCACGCACTTCAATGTAGTGAGGCTCAACTTTAAGGTCCCTCCGGAGCACGACGTTGTTATTAGGTTGCCCTGCTGCTCCACCGACGGCCCCGCCTCCACCGGCACTCACGCTACTGTTCCCACCGTCTGGAGGGGGTTTCTGTGAGCCACAGCAAGGTGAGCAGGAGCCGGGTTGTGAGCAATAGGCATGGCAGCGGACAATGGCCAGCACCACCACAGTGACCAGGAAAACAAAGGTGGTGGCACTCAGAGCGACAATCAAGTAGAGGGTTACGTTGGAGAAAAGTAGTGTACTGTGGGGTCTAATGATCCTCTTGGGGTCTGGGACAACCTTGGGGGGCACCTCCATGACAGCCACGTTGATGGTGGCGGTGGAGGAGAGCGCAGGCTGCCCGTGGTCTTTCACCAAGACTGTTAGAGCAAACGAGGTGGAGTTGTCCTCCAGGATCCTACGAGTGGTCCTGATCTCACCCGTGTGTTCGTGCACCTTGAACAAGTCCATGTCGGTCGCAGTCTCCAGCATGTACACCAGCCAGGCGTTTGGACCGGCATCTGCATCATACGCCACCACTTTTGTCACCAAAGCACCAGGATCTGCGTTCTTTTGAACCGTCTCCAAAGAGCGTGTGCCATTACCCGGAGGGTTGACAATGAGTGGCGCATGGTCATTCTGATCCATTATGTAGATGTAGACGGTGGCGACGCGACTAAGCGGAGGAATGCCCCCATCTTGGGCTTTGACCTGGAAGTGAAACTCTCGAAGTGACTCATAGTCGAAGGCTCGCAGGGCATAAGCCTCGCCAGTATCGGCCTTCACAGACACATAAGACGTGACGGGGATGCCGTGGTTATTGTCATTGAGCACCGTGTAGGTGATGCGTGCGTTTTCCTTGATGTCTGCGTCTTGAGCTTTCACAGTACACAAAGAGGCCCCATGGGCGTTGTTCTCAGTCACGTACACTGTATACGACGTCTGCTCAAATCGTGGTGGGTTGTCATTGACGTCAGCCACGTCGACCTGGATGGTCTTCTGAGAGGAAAGAGGGGGATTTCCTCCGTCTGTGGCACTCAGAGTGACATTGTAGGCATCAGTGGTCTCGCGGTCCAAGAACGCTGAGGTAACCAGGGTGTAGTAGTTTCTGAAGGATTTGATCTTGAAAGGAAGGCCTGCCGGGATCTCCAAAGTCACCTGCTTGTTGGTGCCGGAATCCCGATCGGTGACGCTAATGAGGGCCACGACTGTGTCGGCGCGGGCATCCTCCCTCACAGGGCTTGACAGGGATGACAGCACAATCTGAGGGACATTGTCATTCACGTCCACCACTTCGACCACCACCTTGCAGTGTGCTGCCACCGCTCCGGGGCCTTTGTCCATTGCTTGGATGTACATTTCGTAGGAGTTGGTCTCTTCATAGTCAACGTTGCTGCTTACTCTTATTTCTCCTGTGTTCGTGTCCATACTGAACATCTGCCTCACTCTCTCAGGGGTGTAGCTGCTGAAAGAGTAATATACCTCTCCATTAGTGCCCTCATCCAAATCGGTAGCATTCAGTTTGATCACCAGGGTGTTTTTGGGCGAATTCTCCAACAGTTTCACCTTGTACACGGAGTTGTCGAACATGGGAACGTTGTCATTGGAGTCCAGTACTCGCACATTAATGATAGCCGTGCCTGTTTTTTCAGGTGTCCCACCATCAACAGCACTTAGAATTAACTGGTGGTAAGGCGTTTGCTCCCGATCAAGGGGCTTCTTGAGCACAAGCTCGATGTGCTTTGTATTTAAGGAGGGCTTGTTGGATACCAGCGCAAAATGGTCGTTTGTGCTCAGCTGATAGATACGAACTGAATTGGACCCAATGTCCGGATCCTGGGCATTTTCAATTGGATACCGAGAGCCCGGTAATGCCGATTCGGTGATCTCAACTTGATACTCATCCCGAGGGAACTGCGGTGCATTATCATTGACATCCACAATCTCCACCACAATATGGTGCACCTCAGTAGGATTTTCGACCAGGACCTCCAGATTGATGAGGCAGCTGCTGGATAAATCACACAGCGCCTCCCTGTCGATCCTTTCATTAACAAGCAATTTGCCGTTTTTAGGGTTGACAATCACGTAGCGTTTACTGCTGCTGCTGGAGGTTACCTTGATTTTTCGGCTGGCCAGCTTTCGAATATCCAGCCCCAAGTCATGCGCCAGATCACCGACCAGTGCTCCATTTTCGAGTTCTTCCGTTACAGAATAGCGCAACTGTCCAAACGAAAGGCCACAAAATAAGGAGAATATCACAAAATAATAAAAAGGCACATTGCTTCCCAGCCGGTTGCGTATCCCCGCAACAGCCATTGCAAACTCATAGGATCCGCAGACGGATTAAACGCAGCCTTCCGCCTTTTTAACTTGCAGTACCATGCGTCCCAGCACCTCATTAAGGTGGGCTAAATGGACTCCAGCTGAATGAAAGAGAAGTCGCTCATCCATTGTTGGACCCGGCGGTGGCAAATCCTCTCCAGCTCACCCATATTTCCTTTGTCCGTGATGCGCTTTTTTTTTCGCCTCCAATGCGCGCTGCTGACGGGTGTGTTTCCTCGCCACTGGAGCTGTGAGGTCTGTCAAATCAGCCACAATGTCCCATACTACCCTTTCGAAATAAAATCACGGGAGTCATAGGACGTATTTGTGGAAAACGCATGCGTTGTTCAATCAAACCTGTGTGTGTGTGTCTTTAATTGGGAGAGTTAGTCTGATCTCTGAAACATCAACGTGTATTTCCAATATCACTTTACAGGGCGAAATATCCTCTTTAACTCTTATTTTGAAAATAAAAACCGGAATACAGTGCAACGAATACAGATACTTGACCTTTGCAATGCTCCATCCCACCCTTGCGCGCACTCAGACTCCGGTCCCCCCCACCACCACCAATCTCTCTCCTCCCAAACAGCCAATGTGATGTCGGTTCTGAGGAGTGCTTGCCTTGTACACGTCCAAATATTAAAGCTACTATAAAATAAGGCGTGGAGGGCACACATATCATGATCCCGCAGCGATATTAATGACAGTTATAATGAGCTAATATTACAAATAATAGCCAAAGCATGTCTTGCACACCGAGTGTCGTGCAAGGTAAGCAAAATGCATAAATGCAGTGAATGCATTTGATCAAGTGGCACTACGGGGTGAATTGTCCGCGGAAACATCATGACCATGATGAATGAAAACGTGAAACGTGAAAATGTGTCAAGCGCAGACACATGTTCGAGACCGGCTTATGTTTGTATCCCATTGTCTGCACTGGAGTCGCAAGGATGCTTCATTTGCCGGTAGCGATTCTGTGGTGCAGCCTACCGCATGACGATCATTTGGGCAAGGCGCAGCAGGGAGAAAACATTGCACTGACAATCACAACCTTCCCTCCACATGGATCACTGTCAGTGGTAGACCCCAGACTGTCAGGTCACATCATCGCATTGGAAACGCCCGTGGTGGACCCCAGAAAGCAGAAGTATCACGTTCCCTCTGGTCCATTTGCCAGGGAGAAACATGATATAGGATTCTACATATACCGAGACTGGCTGTTCATTTCGTAAAACAGCTTAATTAGGCAGGTATTGCATCACGAATGGATCACCTGGCAATTAAATGTTTTATCGATTGAAGGAGCTCATTATATTTGCATACTAGGAAGGATGCAAGAAAAATAAAATCGAAAACTCAACCATCTAAATGGATGGAATATTACATTGTGTGAAGCGAAATGCACCTACATATGTTACCCGTAGTGCACTGCTTATCTTGCCTACAGGTGTGAATGGGTTTGTATATCTGTGTTACATCATACCCTGACAGAATTTTTGTCTGGTAGTCCGCTGCTGCTGCTGATGCAAAAAAATAAAAAAATAAAAGATTATGTAAGGTTAGATCGACAGCTATTTGAAGTCAAAGTGATGGTGAATATATTCTGACTTAACCCGCAACACTGGGTCCACCTACACACTCCAATTAGACCAATTACAAGACCTGTCTAAAAAGTCTTCATTTATAAAGTCTTAATTTTAGAAGACAGAAGTTGTGCTTATGTTTTGCTATGGACAATCTTGTTAATACTGTGTACTTAATCTAATAGCGAGCGAGTGTTTCGTACAAACTGTTGCCCTGCCCCCCCCTCAAACGGAAATTGGAGGCAAAATCCCTTTCAGCACCAAGGAGAGTTACCTCTCGTGCCTTGAGGGAGCGAAACACAGTCCTTCTTCCTTCTCCAGTGTACACCTAATTAGATTAATTAAAATGAATTATACACAGTCACACCAGGTCATGAATGAAGTTATCGCCTTCATTTCATGATGTTCTCGATGTGACTGCGGCACGTTTCTATCACGAATAACCGTCACATACAAGCAGCTGCGGAAAATTCGTTTTAGACTATGTTTATTTATTTTATCTTACAGGCCGTTCACCCCCCTGGAAGGTCTTTGAAGATAGATCCGTACAATGTTTAAAGCGATCAGAAGTAGATGTGAGCCTGTTCATTGCAGGGAAATGACATTTGGAGTATCAGCAAGCACGTGTCATTCAAAGTAGGGCAGTGTTCCTCTAAAAATGGTCGTCAATACATGTGTGAGATTACTACCATTCTAGCTGTTGTTAAAATAGTTCCTGCAGGTAGATCTCCCTGTTCGAAGGCATATCGTTTCTGCTTACATCAATCATTTTGGGATCCGTTGAATAAAATCAGAACATTGTGTTTCCATGACAACCCGCAGTTTGCTGCATGTTGCCGTGCCAGTTGTGATCACTGTCCCAAATTTGATGTACATCCCTCCACATAGAACTGCCAACGTGCTATTTCCAAAGCCCTGCGTGATAAGCAATGGTACTGCACCACTGTTGCTTGGCTTATAAATCACTTGTGTCGGTTGCCTTGTTTTTCTTCCTGTCACTGACCACTTTTGCGCAGTTTATTGAGATGTGCAATTCTAATGATGTAAAATCCCGTTGCACACTCAAGAGGCAACAATATTTTGCAGTTGTAATGGCAGTGCATAATACTTTGATTATTATGATTATTTGGGTTACTTTATTGAAGGGCAACAATACAATGGGGTCAATCCAAAAAAATGCAGCATTATCCGTGTCAAAGTGAAAGTTTAATCGTTCCGAAAATATTCCATTAGAGCGCAGATGTTTCCCTCTATCAAGAGTCCAGGTAGTGTATGTGACATGTTCCCTGAAATGTAGTTTTTATGTGGCTATTTTAAGGAAAAGAAAAACAAAAATAATGGCCAGCATCATAATGCAGCACTGACCCTTTGGCAAGGGCAGACACACATAAATAATCTGCCACAGGCATCACTCAAGATGGAGTCCAGGCTGCACTGCACTTAGCTCAATCAAAGTGCCCCATCAGACTGTCGGCAAGATCAACATACACTACTTCAGTCACTTGTTCCTTCGGGAAAACGAGGCCTCTTCCTTATTCATGTATGGACTGAGAAATCATCAAATAAATGCATACAATAAAAATTCTCTCTCATCTTACGACACCGTGCTCGTCGAACAATGCGAGTGATGTATCATAAAGGCAACCTGACAGAAGTTGTCTTCGGAGGTCTGGCATTTCACGTGACATTCTTGTTGCACATGCACTAACACATTTGTATTCCTGTCTCGCTCTGTGCATGTTTTGAAATCGGAGTGACAATCTGTTCATATCTGTTTCTGCAGCTTTGCAGTCACTGACTTATCTCTGCACACACACTCCTCAAGAAAAAAAAAAGCCACCCACACACCCACACACACACACACACACACACACACACACACACACACACACAACTGATTCTTCCTCTGAGTTAAGGCGGAGCTGCACATCACGGCTCTGAACTGAGTTGAATTCCTCTTCATTGTCCCCTTCCAGTGATGTTGGAAACAGAGACTGTAGATAGTAAGACTCATCAGCTATCTTCCCTCTGCTGTTTTGAATCTCTCACACAATTGGGTCAAATGCCCAAATTTTGCTTTACACATTCAATTGAAAAGTGTAGTGTTGTTGTTGTCGTCGTCGTTGTTGTTTTTATGCTAGATTAAGGTCAAAATATGTCCCCAAAAAAGTCAGTATGCTTCTTTCATAATTATATCAAATCTTGTCCTGCCATCGTTAAATATTTGACGTGTATAATAATAGCAAGTGTTTGCATTAAATATGCAAGTGCCAGACTCTGCTGACACAGTAAGATGAATCACGAACATCCTGATCTTTTGCACTTTCAGGGCTTAAAGAAACAGACAGATGGCGCCAGAGAGCATATTCCTGCTCAAATGCCATCCCGTGCAAAGGCTTCAGTGGACTCTTACCATCTGGAACCTGAAGCGGGGACTTTGTCTCGTGATACCCCCGGACAGATATTGTCGTAATTTGACATGTAATATGTGAACAGCAGTAATTAAATTCTGCAAATAAGTGTTATGATTGTGTACACTGAAGAAACGGCTCGATACTGTATTGACTTTTGAATAGTTATTGAGATACATAAAATTGGCAAATCAACATAATCTGTCCGCAATCCCCTAAACCGCTTGTATCTAAATCTGAAAATCTACATCTTTTAATAACCTAATCCACACACGCGCACACACACACACACACACACACACACACACACACACACACACACACACACACACACACACACACCCAAACAGTGAAAGCGATACCAAAGCCAAGCGGATTCGCTAAGTCTCTACGTGTAACTGATCATTTTCTTGGTTGGGTTTCAGCTATGCCCTTATTTAATGTCATTGATTTTAACATTGCATTGATAGACTGTTGATAATCATAAATGTGAATTTTAGAGGTGATTTTGTCACTCCAAATAGGAGTAATAGCACTTTTGTTGCGTGCCCATCGAAAGTCTCCCCCATCTAAGATGATTACAGTACATACATCCTCCAACAGCGTCCACATCAAACATCAGCATGTAGTCTCTTGGCAGGGTCATTCGAGGTCTTGCTACCAGGCTGGCATGCAAGACAAAGTCGCTGTCCTGGCTCCACACAGCACGGGTTAGTCCAGCTCTAGGTCAGAAAATGAGGATAGAATGCATGCAAAGTACCGCTGAGGGCTGTGACATTTTGTTCACCACGCGTGCAAGAAGACATCCTAGTTTCAAGTCTTCCATTTTTTTTTTTCTGTCATGACTATCTATCTATCCATTGCTGAGTTATTATTATCGACACAAATGCCCACTTTTTGCTTTGATTCAAGTGGATTTATATTCAACACACAAATGATCAACGCTGTTATTCTTCGTGACTCTAATTGTGATAAGGCCCCTCAGTGTTTACTCAATATGTATGCAGCATAAAGTATGTATTAAGTGAAATGTAAAAACAGCGTGCCCTGCATCCTCAGCTGAACAGATCATGCAAAATGATTAAATATGTCCAATTATTAAAAAATAATATATTCAATATTTGGCTCCATTTTTTTGTCTTTTCGGAATAATAAAACAAATAAACACACTTTGGACATTATTTTAGGAATGTGACGATATGGACGAACAGTCAAGAAATTAACTCAAGAGGTAAATGTTAGTTTTAAACAGAAAAAAATTGTTCACTAAGGATAAAAGTAAAAACATGCTTGGAGTGAGTTGGGGCAGTATATATATATTTTTTTTTTAATTGGCTGTCCAGTCAGTTAGAGCAGAACACTTGAAAGGGCTCTCGCATCAGTTTTGTGCAAGACAAGGCATAAATGAATGAACTGTAACGAAGGATCAAATTGTGCAAATATAACAGCTCTTTAGGCTTTAATGCAGCCTGACAAAGCATTATTTGTATTTCTGCAAGTTCAAATGGAAGCGAACTCCCTGATTTGGTTTCTAAGAATGAGCACACAGCGTTTAACAGGGAAACTGGGTCAGAATGTGTGCGCGCCCGTGCGCGCGCGCGTGTGTGTGTGTGTGTGTGTGTGTGTGTGTGTGTGTGTGTGTCAGAGAGAGAGAGAGAGAGAGAGTGAGAGAGAGTTCAGGGAGAGAGTGCGTGTCTTTGACATCCGACAAGTCACTTGTGATAACTTCACATTTTTCTCCTTTCTTATCTGTCAGAGGCACAACAGAGAGACCTTTTAGAAAGAAAAAAAAAAAGTTTATTCAAATGATCATGATCAAGCAGAACATTAAAAGCCAAATAAGCGACATCAAAACCTGACAATTAGCTGCACCCGAAAAGAAAAAGCAAGGCCATTCTCTCCCGTTCGGTCTTTGATCTGCCGAGTGAAATGGAAGTTTAATACATTTGATGTAACTCTCAAGTATACCGTCCAATCCGACTGGTGATTAGATGAACACAAAATCCGGCGCCGCGTTCACAAATGAGAAAGGACGACAACACCAAGCGAGAACAAGCACCCCTGCGTCATTAGATCACAGTGAACTTACAGAAGATATCAAAAAGTCGACATTATTTAAAAAAGAAAAAAAAAACACGTAGAAAGTGTTTCAATTTACATTCTGGAAAACAAAAGGCTGACTTGCTATGTGCCAATGCCCACACTGGAATATGAGCGATACAATTCGGTACTTCATAATGGAAACTATCAAATTTCTTCAACAATTTAGTCCGCTCCCTGGATTTGAAAATAACATCTCTTAAATTCGTCTTTGGCAAATGATAGCACTATTTTTTTTTTTTTTTTTTAATGTTCACAGCATATTTTCCATGTGCTTATCATGCACGTTGACACTCGTTCGAACAGGCGTTGCCAAACTTTTCCTGTTGATTTACAATACCGCTTCGTTCGTCAAAAGTCACATGCAGTAAATCTTTTTTACAACGCCGAATGGCCCACAAAAAGCTTTTCAGACGTGCAGTTACACACTTTAGGAAGTGACTGGTAGCAATAGATCCGTTGTCATCCAGAATTTCTCGTCGAATGTCGTAGGCCTCGACGCAAAAGTAACAAACAGGTTTTGCTGCCTTGCTCAGCATAATCCCGGACCCGTGATCCTCTTGGTTGCATTGTCGAGAGCGCTGCAAATCCCCTTTTAAGTTTTTGTGCATATTTTAAAACGCCGCAGTACTTGATACTGCTTAATAATGCTGAAGACTCAATTGTTCTGGCTGGTGCATATTCGGTACTTGTGCACTGTCATTCGAACGACGTTCGCTGCCTCTAACGCTTATAGATTTGATCACCGAGCACCTAAATAAGAAGTTGCTTTAATCAGCCACTTGTTTCTGATAAAGGAAAATCATGCGCCTTGCTGGAGTGCGTTGGCAGAGGTCAAAAAGGTCAAGAAAAGGACAGCGTCTTCAAATCTCTGTGAAAAACTACAAGATCCCAAAACATCAATTCCACTAAACTACACATATGCAACACAAAATGCCCTTGAATAAGACCACAGAAGCAGCATTAAAAGTTAAGACACAACCTATCAATAAAACTAAAAAATAGTCAACCCCATACGGACTTCAATTATGACCAGGATTAATACAGTTGGCTATTTTTCTTGACATATATCAATAGCTTCATTATTAAAATTGAAATATTAATATAAATTGTCTGCTGTATTTGAAGGGTTTTTTTTTTCTTTTTTGCAACTCGTGTTTTATTGCCAGTTTGGTCAGTTTATTTTATTGATAGAAAAAAAAATGAACAGCCATTTTTTTTTTAAGCGGTGGTATGGATCAGTATTTATGAATGTACAATCCACCCTCCTCTCATTTAATTTCATATTTCCTCAAATGCAATATTTCTAAAATGAATAAAGATGATCTCATGTAATTTGTCCCCAAAATACAGATAAATACGAAGAAATGGCCGTTCAGACTAACAGTCCAGATGCCAATAAATTATCCACTTGATACTCAAAGCATTCAAAATGTTATGAAATACAGCCGACCACAGACACGCAAAACCCCAACGCAACCTTTTCCCACTTGTGAGCTTTCATTTTTTTACACCTTTGTCACGATTGAGTACAATATGACAGAACGTCAAATCACCATTTGACAGCGAGAGCAATATTGGACCACAGCTCCTCACGTAAAACAGTCAAATGTCATTTGAAAGGAAAAACTGCCCCGCGTTCAAATGCATGAACGAGATGACCCGATACGTTTCAGTCATCAAATCGGCAAAATCATATTTCGCCCTGATTCTGATTGATTTTGCGTGTTTTGCACGTGGCACTATCTGCTTTTGTCCAAATGACATATTTTAGAATCATGCAGATTCATGCTGTAAATAGAAGATCTGGGGGGGAAATGAGACTGAATGCATTGAGGATGATTCCGTGACATCTCTCGGTGGATGAATCGAAATATGCAGGATCGACTTGCCTATCTAGCTAATGACAACGTTCGGAGAGTTGAAAGATAGAAAAGTTGGCTTTTGGAGAGGCTCAAGGAAAACTGTTTTACATCTGTTGTACGAGTCAATGACTGCCAGGAAGAGATGATTATATCACGGCAGTTCTCTTCTGGTTGCCTGCTGAGAGACAGAACACATAATAAGTCCTGACACGAACACGCCAAAGATTACGGAAAGTCCTCACTCATGCAACGGTGGATCGTGACTGGTTACTGCAAACGTCATTGAAAAGTCATGGTGGTACAACATAAAAAAAAAAAAAATCATTGTAAAGGCAACAACGTGTATGATTCTAATTAAATAAATCGATCTATAAAATCATCAAGGAGGAAGCACAAGGGTGGACAAAGCATGCATAAGCAGGCATCCTCATGTGATTTTTGGCAATTACGGCTTGGTCAGAATTTAGGCCGGCCAGATGTGCACAACACGACCCTGACCGGCAGCCAGTTTCCTTCTAATCTGTGCTCTCGGTAAGCTGAGAGGTTTTCTTATTTGAGAGCCGAGCCAATTTGAATGTAGCATTTCAAATGGAATGGCGTGGTGCCCATGTTGGACAAACATGGGCAACACTTCATCCAGGAAAAGGTCAATCGGAGGATTTTAAACATCACCAAATTCATGAAGAAATCGATGTCGCAGTCAAAATATACACGTGATTTTTTTTTAGGTCGAATAGAATCATATGAAGAAATGTCAGCGGTTCTATGTTGTGTACATATACTGTATATAGCAACCATCATACCTCCAGGTGTCGAATAGACTTCTTTTCATTTTGAATACTTAAGCACAAAAGAAAGAAACAAATTGCACAATGAGTATGAAGGTTAAACACAACATACAAACATGAATAAAATCACCATCCCGATACTACATTAAATCATTTATAGTCATTTATGTTCCACCTTCCTGTCTGCACGTCCTCAAACAGTGATGAATCAAAAAAAAATATATATATATATGTAGAATCCTCTCTGAGGATAGATAAAAACCGCAACCGTATTTAACTTCATTTTACACTTGCGACAGTTAAGAATGTAAAAAAACAAACAAAAAAAAAACAGAACTCAAAAAGTACTCTCGTCTTTGCAAGCAAACCAATTTTTTTTTCTTTGCGGAACAGTTTTGCGAAAGAATGATTTCATTTCAAGGGGTACGGAAGAGGATTAGGGCAACCTTTTCATTTTTTTTTAAACTATTTTCTTTTTTCTCAGCTTTTTACCACACTCCGTCACCCATAGCTGTGTTGATTATTAACAGCACGCTAACTTACAAATGTGAAAATATTAATGGAAAAAAAAATATATATATAACATTCCTGTCAGCCGTGGCGACAGTTTTCCCTCTGGAACAGATTCTTTCAAAATTTGAAAGGTGTGGTATTTGACCTTAGAAGTTCCACCGTACATATGCGTGAACTGCTTCTGATCCGCCAGACTTCCCCGCATGATACAGCTCATTTAGCACATCTTGTCCTTGAAGAGAAACACTCTGTGTCGACGCTCTTTGAAGTATTCCCGCACTTCCGCCACCCACTACTGTGATATGCATCTGGGATAAATGACCTACATACTACATTAGACATTGAACAGTGGAATATTGTGCGCGTGCGTGCGTGCGGTGGTGGTGGTGGGGGCGGTGGAGGGAATTTGTTTGACCTAATTATTCAATGTGATTGCTTGTTGGCTCTTCCAGTACTCCAATATTTAAAAGTATCCGCAGGTCTTTCAGTTAATGACCATTTACTAATTATTGCATAGTTATATATCGTTTATTACAGTTTTCAATTCAAAACAAACAAACAAAAATAGGATCGAAACAATATGTGCACATCATGGTAGACCAAATGTTGTTCCACATATAAAATTTGAATTATCTTTCAATTATTCTTGTGTTCTAATGATTTGTGGTCACGGCCACGTTGATATTAAATGATGAGAAGCTCTTCCATTGCCCGATTCGTCATGTTAGCTAAAATGCTGTATATGTTCTACGTACCTCCAGTGTGGATGCTCTGGACTCCGTGGTCTCACTCGGCCCGATGCTCCTGGGTATACTGGACACAAAGTAGCCAGCTCCTTTGGGAATTATGGGCTGTCTCACGACGACTTTGCCTTTCCTGGTCTCTGCGAGAAACAGACTGTACCAGTAGGCGTCGCTGGAGATCAAGGTGGAGTCCGCAATGGTGGAGCTCCGTTGACTGATCACACTGTTCCTGCTGAGCACACTGTTCCGATTAGCTGGGGGAATCTTGATGGGCTTTGGCTTGGGTTTTTGACACTTCAGTACAATAATAACCAAGATGGTGATGAGCAGCATGAAGGACACAGCCCCTAAACCGATGACTAAATATAAGTTGAGGTCTGTGAAGACGTCATACTCGAGTGGCAATTCTGTTGTCTCCGAAAATGCCATGGAGTGCTCCACTGTGGATATTTTGATGGTGACCGTGGTCGAGAGAGCGGGGTTGCCGTTGTCTTTTGCAACAATGACGAGACGTTGTTGCCGGGGGTCTCTGTAGCTGAACATTCTTGTCGTCCGGATCTCACCGTTGTATTGATCGAGACTGAAGAGGGTGGTGTCGCTGATTTGTAAGAGCTGATACGTGACCCTGCCGTTCTGCTCGGAGTCTGCGTCGATGGCGATCACTTTGGCCACTAAATGTCCCTTATCCGTCGACCTCGGTATCACCTGCTCCACGACGGAGCCTTGAGCCCGCCACGGCGACACGATGACAGGGGTGTTGTCATTTTGATCCAGAATGATGATATGAACGGTAACATTGCTGCTCAGTGGGGGGACGCCGGAGTCCCTTGCCTCAATGTGGAAAAGATACTCCCTCTCTCGTTCGAAATCAAAGGTCTTCAAGGCGTACAGGTCGCCATTTTCTGGATTGATGGAGAACAGCATTGACATGGATGTGTTCGCTATCTCTTTCTCCATTATGAAATATACCAAGTACTGGTTCTCATTCAGATCTGGGTCAAACGCACTTAGAGACGTCAGCAACGCTCCCGGCAGATTATTCTCCAGAACGTGAATGGTGTAAAAGGATTGAGGGAAGGTGGGCGCATTGTCATTGATATCATGAATCTCTAAAGTGAACGTCTCACTTTCGGTTAACGGCGGCATCCCTTTGTCCGTCACCTTCAGGGTGATTTCATATTTGCTCTGTATCTCTCTGTCCAGTGGCTTTGAAACCAAGAGCTCAAAGTAACCCCCTGAGGATCGATTGAGGATGAAGGGGAGGTTTTCCTGCTGACTTAAAGTGAGCAGCACTTTCCCGTTGACTCCGGAGTCCCTGTCGCTGACGCTGACCACCGCAATCATTGTCCCCACGGCTGTGTTCTCGGCCACTGCGCTTTTTAGAGACTTGATTGTCAGCTCGGGGTAGTTATCATTCAAATCCGTGATGGACACCATCACTTTGCAGTGTCCTAACAGCGGCGTTGACCCTTCGTCCTGAGCTTGTATGTGCATCTCAAAATTCTGATTCTCCTCAAAATCAACAGGCCCCTTCACCTTGATCTCGCCTGAATGTCGGTCAAGCGAGAAGAGCTCCTGGGTCTTCTCAGAAGTGTAGAGAGTGTAAGAATATAGCAACCGTGCGTTTGTGCCTTCATCCAAATCTGTTGCATTTAGGGTCATGACAACCGTCCCCGCACCTGAATTCTCTGGAACATGGACTTCAAATACCGGCTGACTGAACAAGGGGGCGTTGTCATTGATATCGAGGACGTTGATAATAATACTGGCCGTGCCGGATCGGGGAGGAACCCCTCCATCCACCGCGGTTAAAATCAGATTATGCACCGCGTCCGTCTCCCGGTCCAAATTGCCATTCAGAACCAAATCTACATATTTGGATCCATCGCTGCCAGTTTGGATGTCAATGTTGAAATATTTGCTCTCACTTAGATAGTAAGTCTTGATTGTATTAGCACCAACATCCGCATCTACAGCATTTGTTAAGGAGAATCTCTCACCAGCAGGGGTTGCCTCGGAAACATCCAAATAAATGGTTTTCCTCCGGAACACTGGCGCGTTGTCATTAATGTCCATGATCTCCAATTCGATGTTAAAAATACGAATAGGGTTTTCTAGTATGACATCCATTTTTAGAAAGCACGAGGCTGTTTTAGTCATGCAGATGATTTCCCGGTCGATCTTCTCGCGGATGATGAGCTCTCCGGTTTCTTTGTTGATGTCAAGATAATTTTTGCTGTGAATGACATCCAGCTTTGCTTTGCGCTCCACCATGCTTCGAACATCTAAACCCAAATCGGTGGCGAGGTTGGCAACAAAGGAACCCTCTTCCATCTCCTCCGGAATAGAGTAGCGAGTGATTGAAAGCACGGAGCCCCATAACGCACTGGATGCAAAAGCGGCGATCAGCAGTTGTGTCCGTAAACGAGCCACGAGAGAAGCCATGACGCTACCTTTTAAATGCAGAAAGAGAGCAAATTCGTCCCAATGTTCAGGCTGTCTTGATGCACGGAAGCGCCGGTGTCATTCTTGCCTCCACGCGTGGGAGCTGCAGCAAGCGGTCCATGCACACGCGCAGCACCGCCGATTCCTGCAGGGGCGTGTGCAGCGTTTGTGTCGGCTGGCCTCGGGTGGCCCAGCTCACGTTAAAGGGGTGGTGGGCACGTTAAAGGGATGGTGGGCGGAGGGTGCGAGGGAGGCAATTTATACCACCAAATGTACAATAATAACTCCTATCAAAATTGACAGCCTTTTTAGTGTGTGTAGTGCGTGTTACTTCGCATTAACCCATATGTAAAAGCGAATCAGTCATTTCATGAATGAAAACTGTTTCTAATGCAAAATTGAATGACTCAAATTGTGAATGATGCCAGCATTACACGTGTGGAAATTTTAAGAGCAAGAATAAAACACATATAACCTCATGTAAGCACAAATTATTATGAGCCAACCAGGTGAATCAAGGTGCACCACACCGTGCTTATTGTTTTATATTTTCCCTAAAACTGCAACTCAGCACGTGTTCATCTTTTACAAGCATGTTTTCTCATGGCATAAAACTACGAAGTACTTAAAGTTCCCAAACGTAACATACACACACATAGACACACACGCCATTTAATAAATGGAGTTTTCTTTTCATGTCACCATGGCAACCATTAGTTCTTTGTCATTGTGTGTGCTTGCATGAGTGATCGAGCGCGACTACAGAGGATGGTTTGCCTGAGATGCTGGAGTTTGTGCCTCCATTTGTCTGTATTGTACCGCCATCTAGTGACAAATTTAAGAATTACAGGAACATCCTGGGTTATGTCCACCGCAACCCCACTTCGGGTGCGCGTCTGTCTGTCTCTCTCTCTCTCTCTCTCACACACACACACACACACACACACACACACACACACACACACACACACACACACACACAGTACCATCTCTGATGTATTCGAGTTTTTTAGTCCCCAAGGTGCAATTGTCCTCATGTGTTTTATCCACTACCTTTCTCGGTTACTCTAAATGGAAGTAAACAGACACATCTGAGGCTACATGAGATCCAATATGCTGTATGAAATAAAATATATTGTGTATATTATTGCTCAGTTTGGATTGACAGGGAGGAAGTACAGTAATAATATGTAGAGGAGAGAGTAGTAAAAATCCATGGGAGTAAGGCACAAACACTAACCAACAGAAGCAGTGACAGCAACAATGACTCGACACGAAGTGGCCTGGCCTGGAGTCCTTTTAACAGAAAACCTACTAATGAGATGATGACCAACAGGTGTGCCGCTGGAGGAGGAGCCCGACAGAGTCACTCGTTAGCCCCAAACAGATCAACCGTGACAATTTATTGCCAACACACAAAATGAATTTTCCTAATGTTGATGCAAAAGCAAAGACACACACACACACACACACACACACACACACACACACACACACACACACACACACACACAGTACCATCTCTGATGTATTCGAGTTTTTTAGTCCCCAAGGTGCAATTGTCCTCATGTGTTTTATCCACTACCTTTCTCGGTTACTCTAAATGGAAGTAAACAGACACATCTGAGGCTACATGAGATCCAATATGCTGTATGAAATAAAATATATTGTGTATATTATTGCTCAGTTTGGATTGACAGGGAGGAATGACAGTAATAATATGGAGAGGAGAGAGGAGCAGGGTGAAAAAAAACGAAGAAAACTAAATGCAGAACAAAGTCCTGAAAACAACACAAATCCAAAGTAACAAACAAAAACCCATAGCAGAGGCAAAAACAAGGTGAAAGCAATCCAAACAAACACAAAAAAAAAAAATCCATGGGAGTAAGGCACAAACACTAATCAACAGAAGTAGTGACAGCAACAATGACTCGACACTAAGTTGCCTGGCCTGGAGTCCTTTTAACAGAAAACCTACTAATGAGATGATGACCAACAGGTGTGCCGCTGGAGGAGGAGCCCGACAGAGTCACTCGTTAGCCCCAAACAGATCAACCGTGACAATTTATTGCCAACACACAAAATGAATTTTCCTAATGTTGATGCAAAAGCAAAGCAAGAAAAATACTTTATAACCGTGCAATATGATCACTTTTCTGCCCTCGAAGTGGATAATGTGCATTGTTACGATTGCACAAACAATATCTGAGTTTGGAGTTCAAAACTTTAGTATGGATTCAGTGTCTTATTGAAATGGGGCAACTGTTTCAGCACTCAAAGGTTTTGGTGCCTCTCGCCAGATGGAAGGAGGTATCAGCCACAACCTTGGTTAAAAGTTCTGGAAGAGTACATGACCATCAGGGGATAGCATAATGCAGCCACTTACCTTCTCTGCAGAATGAGTGATGCACTGCAGTGTGCCTTTTGTCTTTGGTAGGGACAATGGAATCACTCCTCGTCATACGAACCGATGAGGACAATGACAATTAGAAAGCTTATTCTTTTTACACGAGCAAAGTGGTCAGCGCGTCGATCTCACAGTGCAGAGGTTCAATTCCAGCTCCGGCTTCCCTGTGTGGAGTTTGCATGTTCTCCCTGCGTGGGTTTTCTCCGGGTACTCCGGTTTCCTCCCACATTCCAAAAACATGCATGGCAGGCTGACTGAACATTTTACATTGTCCCTAAGTGTGAGTGTGAGTGCGGATGGTTGTTCGTCTCTGTGTGCCCTGCGATTGGCTGGCAACAGGTTCAGGGTGTTCCTTGTGAGGATAAAGCGGATCGGAAAATGGATGGATGGATGAATGTTTTTCTATTCATTCAATTCAAAACCCAACTTGTTTGAACACAGGTACAGGATCTGCGATGGAGGCAAAATGATATTCACTCACCCAGTTCAGGGGCCGAAATTGGAAATAAAATCACGAAACAAAACGTGATCTATCCATGATTTACCGTATGCGAAACATAACTTTTCCATATGCATGTTTCTGGGTGCACACGGGATATGTGCTCTTTTTGTGAGGCCAGGCTGTTTTGGTACGAGTTGTGATGCAGTCAAATATTGAATCGAGGCTCTTTTCTCTGTAAGAATTGGCAGGAGAAATGTTTGCAGTCTGTCAGTATTTGTTTGGATGTGCATCAGACTGACTTTAACTGCCAGGAATTTCGACCACTTTAGGATACATGCGGTATGAAACTACACTCATATCTATTTTGCTGCTGTTACATGCATGAGATGTACATTTGATCTGATCCATCTGGAACCAAAGTGCGCATACAATTCTTGCAGTGTTAGGCAGCTTTCAATTTAACAAGCCCCTGACACATATCATTGACCGTTTGAAGATTTCAAATGATGACATTTATACGGTGTTAGGAACCTGCAAAACAAAACTGCGCTATTCATATTGACGTGTCCACCATGAAGATGGTTGAATGTGAATTTTATTCATTTAATATACAGTATATGCTGTACACCCTTTGTACAAAGTGAATATTTCTACTTTACATGAACATGTACTACAATAATAATGAATCATGGCTACTGCAAGTACAGACCACATTACAATCTGTCGTTCATAACACATTTAAATAATCATGTATTTATATCATAACGTCGAGCAAACCAAACAGGACGATCACGTGTGTCCTCCATCTGAATTGTATTATGTGTGATATGAAATTAAGAAGCAACTTTTCCAACATATACAACATCTCTTGAGGAGGAATCAACTGTTACTATAGGTTGACGTAGTTAATAAATGCGTACTCATGAGAAATTAGAAAGAAATATGAACAATGGACATTTTACCATAACATCAATGAATTTCGGCTGCAGGTTAAGCCTGTTTTCCTCGAGCTACACCGAATTGCTTTTTGAGGTATATAAAAAGGAAGTTCTCATGAGAACAGGCTTGTTAATTACAAATATATCCTCCTGTACAATCATACACAATGTGAAACAGAACGGTTGATATGTTATTTAAAAATACCACCGCTTATGAGCCCATCCTCTTTGTCATACGGCTGTTCATATTTAGAGACTAATTTCTTCTTCTTCCCGAAAGTAGAAAAGGTGTTATAGACATCCAGGTCACCTCGAGGCGCAAGCTTGAGTGTGCTGTAGCCAGATGTGGTGCCGGGAATGTACACGTTGTGCTGATAGTCTGCTGCCTCAGAGGGAATATACACATTGCGCTGGTAGTCTGGTGCCTCAGACTGAGGTTGCGTATACTTTGGAGTCCAAGTGAAGTTTGGATTGGTTTCGTCCTCAAGAGGCATCTTGCAATCTATAAAAATGGGCATGGAGGATGACAACTGCATGATGAGACCCAAATCTGTACTTAGCAAAAACAGACTTAAGAAATGAAACTCACCACTGATACGGTTTCCCCAGGTCCAGTACTGTGGTGCCAAGGAGCAGAAATATTCATCAGGGTCATATTGATGTGGACGTGATAATGTGCCTTCCATATTTCCAGAACTGTATCTGAAGACATAAAATTACAACAGTGGTATGAAGTCATACATCTGCATGCAGTACACATTACATGTGTATCGCAGTTGTTTTTTTTCATAGTCACCTTTTGTATGCTGAATTCCGTTGATTCTTGGTCCAAGTCCAGTCCTTGCTGGAATACTTGAGCTGCACGGTTGAAACACATCAAATTCAAATCAATAACTTGCTCAAGTACAGCAAATGTGTTTTCTGCTTGACTGGTGTGCCCTTTTCTCCTTCGTTTCTATTGACATTCAATAGCTCAATGGGTCCGTTCATGATTGAAAAAGACAAGCAAAACAGCTAGAACCACACGGGGAGCCCCGTTTTGATGCCCAGCGTAAGTCTAGCGTAATGTGCAGTCTCACTGTGCACACGAGTGGAGTTATCTTTCTTTTGGGGTTTTCCGACACTCGGTGGAATTCGGCGTTTGTGCCATTGTGGGATGGCACGTAGCCAACACCCGGCCAAACGTTGCGGCATCAGTGTGACATTATGGAAAAAGAAATAAAATCGCTGGAGTTCGTGCATGACACTGGCAGGCCAAAGTGCATTTACACAGTCGAACTGCAAGATTTCCCTTTGCGGATGAGATTGTCAGCCGCGCGTGTCACATGGGTAATTGGAGCATGCCTTGCACCCACGACTGTTCGTCTATGTGCGCCCGCCTCCACAGTAGTTGTGCCGCATGGTCTGGTGTGTGCTGACAAAGATGATAATGATTCGTCATTCAGTCTTGCCCGGTACAAAAAAAGATTTTACGCCGAGCGCATGAGAGGCTGTCTACCAAAATAAGGCCCAGGGTGTTATGTTGCTTCCAAACATACATTTCTCAAAGCCTTTATAATAGTTATGCTAATAGTCGTTATTAATTTTGTGGCTGTATGCACTACTACAAATATGTAAATAAGGATTTTATCATAATCTGCTCTGCAACAAAGTCAGGGGAAAAAAAAAACATTTCACAGGTTTGAGATCATCATAAAGTAATGAGGGATAAATTGATTTGGTGTGAAGTATCACACTACTCGGGGTGCGTGAAATGACTAATGGAATGGATAATGAATGCGGTTGCAAATTTCGCTGTGCACAGCTAATCAGGCACTGCTTGTTTATTTATTTATTTTTTTACATCCTACTGATGACATTTATACAAATGAAACTTCAATATATTCTGTATATATTTTAAGATCCACAGAAGGATTCAGATTAAGGTTTGAGTTAGGTGGTATTTTTCCTGCCCCACTATATTTTGGTTCAATCACGACATTATTAAACTGAGTCATACTGTACTTTTATAATGTCGCAGTTGTCGCAATGTTGATATTTGCCTCTGAAAAAACCTCCCAGCGACGCGTGACCAACTGCTTTAGATATGCATTATGTATAAGATTCACACAAAATTGTAAAATATACTACAACCGCTAATCATGCTAATGCGGTATCGATATTTACTTTTACAGAGATTATATGAGAGGCGTTTAACAAAATGTTTGTTGGAATTTGCAGTACAGTACGACGATACAGCATAAAACCGAGAGCTTTCATTTTTCACCGCAGTCTTTTTGGATAGGCCCCGCCCATTAACGTAACGGAACAGGATGAGCAGTACAGAAAATGGAATTAATGCCTGCGTGGAAACAGCACTCAGAACAATACTCAGTGTGATGCAGTGCGGGTCATTGTACACAACAGAGCAAAATAGATATTTGGATTCATGAGGCATATTTGTGTTACCTCTTTTTGAGTTGAAGTTCTGTTGTTGGCCAGCTCATTACGGTCCAGCGTGCTCCAACCAGATGTCAGGTAGTCTGTACTTTTGGCATTATTCTGTCGAACGGACAACACCGGACTGCAGGGTTTGAGGAACATGAAGTCACTTTTTGAGGATTCGGGCGTCAGACACATTTTGTAGCAGTAAGCTTGCGGGAGGGCGCCGTTGCCGCTCGCCTCCGTGCAACCCGCCGACTCCGTTGACATCCTGATGTTCAAATTGGACTTTTTGAAGATGTCAGCGGCGCCGGGTGTGACCGAGCGACAACAGCAGCAGCACATGTTCGTGGAGGGGAAGTTGGACTCTTTGTCGGGCGCTCTGTCCTTCAGCCTCCTCACAGTCACAATGACGATGATAGCCACTAGAAATGTTAAAGAGATTGCCCCGAGAGACACGATTAAGTAGAGGCTAAAGTTGGAGCTGTGATGGGGGATCAGTGACAGGTCACCCGAATCGGGCTGAGATTCTGGCAGGCTGTCAACCACTGACAGAATGATGGAAACTGTGGCCGAGAGGGGGAGTTGGCCATTGTCCTTCACCAGAATGACCAATCTGTGCCTCGTGGGGTCTTTCTCCACTAATTGTCGTATTGTCCTAATTTCCCCTGTGTATAAAGCCACACTGAACAAGCTTGGGTCAGTTGCTTGGAGCATTTGGTAGAAGAGGCGCGAGTTCTGACCGGCGTCTGCATCCACCGCTCGGATTTTGGTGACCAGGTAGCCAGCATCCACAGATCTCGGCACCGCTTCAGTCGGGGGCGTCCCGTTTTGAGAAAGAGGTGACACGACGACGGGCGCGTTGTCATTTTGATCCAAAATAAATATCGTCACCGTAACGTTGCTGATTAAAGGCGGCAATCCGGCATCTTGAGCTTGCACTGTGATTTGAAAGTTTTTTAGCTGCTCGTGGTCAAAGGACCTGAGGGCGTAAATATTCCCGTTATCTGAATTTATCGAGACATACGTAGAGGCAGGCATCCCTTGAACGTCAACCTCTATTATAGAATAAGAGAGGTAAGCATTTTGGCCGTAGTCTGGGTCATGTGCTGTCACAGAGCAGATGGAGGCCCCTGGCGCATTATTCTCAGTCAAGTACACAGTATAAGCGGGTTGCTTGAACAGAGGCACATTATCATTCACATCAGATACTTGGACCACAATCGTTTTCCTTGTAAATAAAGGCGGGGAACCCATATCTCTTGCAGTTATTGTAATGTTATACTCTGCTACCGTTTCCCTGTCCAAAAAATCACTTGTCACTAACGTGTAGTAGTTTTTAAAAGAGGAATGCAGATGAAAGGGGATCATATTTGGGATCTCACAGTCGACGTTGCCGTTTTCTCCCGAGTCCTTGTCCGTGACGCTGATGACGGCGATGACGGTGCCTGGGGGCGCGTCCTCGTGCACAGGTGTAGACACGGACGTCAGAATGACCTCTGGGAGGTTGTCGTTCCGATCCAAGACGTTCACCAACACTTTGCAGTGGACCGCGACAGCGGAAGGACCTTTGTCCTTCGCCTGGATGTAAATTTCATGCATCCTTGCTTTTTCATAATCGATTAACCCCTTGACTTTGATTTCCCCCGTGCGCGCGTCCACGCTGAAAAGCTGTCGCACTTTGATGGGTGCGTGCCCGCTGAAAGAATAGCTTATGTCCGCGTTGGTGCCCTCGTCTAAGTCGGACGCGTTTAGTTTGATGACAACCGCACCTTTTGGTGCGTTTTCCGCCAGTCTTACTCGATAAAAAGATTGGTCGAACACCGGCGCGTTATCGTTGGCATCGAGAACGGTGATGTCAATTTGCGCAGTTCCGGACTTCTCCGGAGAACCTCCGTCCACCGCTGTCAGAACCATCTGATGAGCGCTCTGCTGCTCCCGGTCCAACGGGTTTTGGAGGACGAGTTCGGCGAATTTACTGCCGTCACTTCTTGTCTGGATGTCCAAAGTGAAATGCTCATTGACGCTCAGCAAATAAGTGCGCAACGAATTGGAACCCACGTCCAAATCTTGCGCGCTCTCAAGTGGGAAGCGGGACCCCGGTAATGCAGATTCCGAAATGTCCAGATTAAATTCGGTCCACGGGAAACTCGGGGAGTTGTCATTGACGTCCAGAATTTCCACCTCAACTCTGTACAGTTCCAGGGGGCTTTCGATGACCACTTGCAAATGGAATGAACACGCCGAACTCTGCTCGCAGAGTTCTTCGCGATCGAGCCTCTCGTTTACAAATAAAACTCCATTTTCTAAATTCACCTCCACGTACTGTCTCCTGGTACCGGAAACGATGCGGAATCTTCGCGCAGAGAGTTTATTCAAATCCAAACCCAAGTCCTCTGCTATGTTTCCCACAAAAGCGCCGTGTTCCAGCTCCTCCGGGATGGAGTAGCGGATCTGTCCACATGCCGAGTCCAGCAAACAGACCATCAACGCAAAACAAAGTATGGAGCGTTTGACGCACACCATTCGTCTCTTCACCCCTTCTGTGTCCATTTGGAGGCTGTCTCTCAACTCCCATCAAAACTTGACACTGCCGACAAAAACCAAATTGCACGCAATGCAGTTTGGAGGGCGGACAACAACAACAACAAAAAAACTTGACATTGGTGGAACTGATGCTGCTCTGGTCTGCCTGAGAGAAAGCAGAAAGGAAAGGAGGAGGAGGGGGGGGGGTCTCGCAAGTGGGCTATCACTGAATAACGTGTATGTGTGCGCGCGCACGCGCCCTCGTATCATTGGCCCTACTGTTTCAATTGGAGGCAAAACGACATCTGCTTGGATAATCTGCACTGCCGACTAGTCCGATCCAATTCATGTCACCGTTCAGGTTATAAAAGCAATAATATAATGTCAATGTTTATAGATATCTGAACAATAATTCAAATTTTGAGATGGAAACGTCTGAATACAAACTCCCTGTATGATAAGGACACAGAGTTTTGACCAATACTGTTATAGTTTTTCCAATAAAACAGTTCGATTGTGCAATGGCGGTATGAATCACGGATAGTGTAGTGGTTCTCTCGTTTGGCTACAGTTCCCCCTGAGTGAATGCACGAATGGTTAAATCCGTGGCCTGCAAATCACTAGCCACCAAACAAGGGGTGCTCTGCCTTTTATCTAAAGTCATCTAATATGTGAGGACCATGAAAAGGGAAAGTGATATATCGGCGGATGGATTTCATTTGTTCGTTTCACTTTCATCACATGAAAGAAAAAGAAGGCCATGTTTATACAGCTTGTGTCATTATATTTTAAGAACACAGTGCTCCAAATCCTTTGAAAAGGCCGATTTGAAGTTTAGACATCTAAAAAAGTAAGGCTATTCAATCCCACTTTTACACCAAGTATTCACTCTTGAGTAGTCATCGATACTGAGTACCCATACCTCTTGTATTGTTGATACTGTATGTAAAATGTTATTTCAAGCATTGACAAAAAATTTGTGACCGAAGACCATTCTTTCTGATGCAGATGATGATGTGCTACATCATCCAGCATCCACTGGAACTCATTCAATTGTGCAAGTGTACCGAATGTTGTGGACTGTGAATGAAGGAGAATACAAAGAATGACGCATTACCACTAAAACAGAGCAGTTTTATCTCTTTGGGTCTACTCAACGCACGCTCGACCCATTTGCTCCCCCAAAAAAAAAAAACAGTTACCCTGGCTGAAAGCTGAAAACACAATCTGTCTGCAGCATTGAAACCGCAGCAGATGGCGAGGTTTTCCACGGGCTCATGCTCTTTTTAATTAATGGAATGGAGATTAGAGGGCATTTTCCCTGGATCATTAGTGAACAGAGGAATTAAGACATTTTGTGAGAGAAATAATCCCAAGGCTATACATGTAATGCACATGTGGTTTCCTCTCAGTGGTCACATTGACCTGCTTTTCACAGCCTAAGTGCACGGCATCACTTACCCACCGTATGACTAAGTAGCTTGGATAAGGGGACGCAACCGCCACATTTAGGGATCAAAAATACAAAAGAGATTATCTCCCTGTCACTCTTGCTCGCCTTTCCAAACACACGCGCCAACGCTGACAATCTCCCCCCTTTTCGCTCACTCAAGGGCAAAAGTAGAATACCAATCCTTTTGTCTTTAACCGCTTTTCGGTTTTAAAACCTTGGGATTTAAAAAAGGTTGGAGCGATATGCTGCTGCGGCTCCTTGCTATTAATCGGTTTTAGTATAAAAAAAAAAAACATTTAATGTGCATTTTTCTAAAATGGTTTCAAAAGTATGTCATGCGTTTTTGAGGCCAACTAATTATTCTGAATTTGATGGTTTAACCTCAGAGGGAGGAAAACACTGCAGATTCGATGCATTACCTTCCCTGAACATGCCATTGGCAAAAACGATACTTCTCACATGATTGACTGCTCTGGTTATGGGGTTAATAACCGCTGCCGCAACTGACCGCTTCCTAGTGTGTCGTCGTTGCAACGCTACGATTTTACATCGATGCGACGCAACATAAGGAAAATCGAATTGAACGCAGGCCAAATAACACAACGCCTGCATACGTAAAGGCTGAACAAGACTATGCATACGTTAGAAGAAAAGTAGTTTGTGTTCCGTAAAAAAAAAAAAAGATTCCAATTGACAGTTGTACACAAATTTCATGAATGAATTCAGCCATTCATTACTTTTGCAAAAAAAAAACGATTGCTTCTTGCACATAGTTGATACGGTTTTCTGATTAAACCCCGTGCCGCATTCAAAGATTTTTTTTTTCTATTTACAGTATATAAAGTAAAAGGAAGCTGCCTCGGAAGTTGTTTTGAGGCCTTTTGAACTTGTTGATCATGAAATGAAAAGAGTCCTCATGATCAGCTCACTCAATTTGTCCTTCAAAAAGTAGCTTGGCCGTATAATGTAAAGCTACTTTGAACTTCCTGCTTGGGGTTTCAAGAGGTCATCACCTGTATTATGAAGCAAAGAATGGCTGAAATGAAAGTTGGACAAAAAAAACATCCAGAAGATCTGTTATTGTGTTGCCACAGTCGGACCTTGAGGCACACATTTTTGATAACTTCCAGAGTCTTTGACATTGAAAGCTTTTCTGAGGAAGCTGCAGCTGTAGCATCGGCAAAATGAGTTTTACCTTACCTCTTCATTTCTTTTTCATTTCCTGGTCAAGAAGGAGAAGTCATACTGTATACCAGATATTGATTTTTTTTTTCCTGTTGGTATTTGCAAATCAACACACACTTGAGGCAATGTCAGTGAAACACGGCATTGTGATTTGTCACTGCTCGCAGGCGCTCTGTAAATAATCATGTGCTGGCTACAAGCCTGGCTAAACCCCATGTAATATAATGTCGTCTCAGTGTGCATGATAATGCAAAAAAAACAAAAAAACAATCAAACAAACAAAACAAAAAACAATTACTAAAACTGTACTTTTGGGAAGGTGGAGAAAAAAAATCCCACACGAGAAAAGTTGAGTGAGTATGGAGGTTGTTCCAGCCCATCTTGGTCAGAAACGGTTGCATGCTCATGACATTGTGAGGAGGTGAATTGAAGGCCTCAAGTTGTCCTGTCACAACTCTTCATGTCTTTTTGTGCACTGAAAGTAGATTTTGAAGGATTTCTTTGTGCACAAGGAAAGGGGAAAACTCGCCGTACTGATTCAAACTTTAATGCCATCGAAACATGTTCCTGTCGATTTCACAATAATATTAATAATAATAACAAAGCTAGATGAGCTATTGATAAGAACTGAGAAAATGCATCTTATTTATAGGTGAACTGGGGACTTGTGGGGTTTTTTTTCAGTTGAAAAAGAGAATTTTTGAATGCCAGATGCTAATGGGTATGAAGCAGGCACAAGACGCATTAGCCACAAATCGTCGTTGCTACCTACAACAACAAAAAAAAGAAAAAAAAGGACAGTATCAAATTAGAATTGTGGCCTACTTTATTACTTCCCTCCACTGCTTAATTGTTCGGTCTTGACTTGGTTTTACAAGTTTTATTACCGCAATATGTTTCTCATATTTGCTGGTTAGGCTGCACCACCTCGTCTTTGCATGACTCCTTATTACAGGTAATCTCTCTTGTGTGTTGCCCTCATTTGCTATGATCCTTGAATTCCTTTCTCGATACAGGTCTTTTTTGTTTTTTCTGCATTTGGGTCTCCATTCTCTACCATGAAAACAATTTACCATAAGAAGATAAAACAATGTGCCTTTAATCTTGGCTTTTCACCAAGCATTTCATTCAACACATTATTCATGCATAGTTTACTTGCATGCGTCGTTTTCTGACTACATTTATATTGTAGTTCATATTCGCTAAGGCACAGCACAAAAAAAAAAAAAAAAAGCAGATAATGCGAATACACTTACACATGAGGAAAACATCATGGCTCTTTGACTGGAGATTACAGCACAATTGAGGTCACTGGCAGATGCGCAGGGGCGAAACAACAATTAACTGGCCAACAAGCAGATGTCTCTCCAATACAACACACCAACCACAAGTATCAGTGAGAAAAGCTCTTTGTGAAGACAAGCCACTGCTTTATAGCCTGTCAAGTTCTCCTGTCTTGCTATGATCCTCACTGCATGCAAATGTTTCCTTTTTTGAGGTTTGTGTTCAATGATTATACCTTTTCAGAGCCCTAGCATATGATGGATGAAATATGATGTTGGTGTGTGATGATGTTAAGCATCTAATTAAATGTACCTGATATAAAATCAAATCATACATGCTATGAAAGTAAAGCATCTAAATCCAGTGGTGGCTGCTGGAAATGTTGGCCTTGCGATCGACTGCCGACCAGTCCGGGGTGGCGACCTGCATCTCCCAGCGCATCCCTGATCTTAATGAGAGCAAGCGCGTTAGAGAATGGATGGATGAATTTATTAATGAGGTCAGCGTGTTGATGGAATGACTTGCGCTGCATGCATTTAATTTATCCGCCCCTGTCCTGTCTGCCAATGAGTGAGCCAAGATATGACGAAACTCTCGGGCAGGGGTGTCAAACAAATTTTTGTCGCGGAACACATATATGTAATTACGGTCTATCTCGGAGGGCCGTTACAACTGAAACTTTTTAAAGGTAAAATTTACTGCGCTATTTTCAGTGGGTCACCTTGGATCGTCTAGTATAGCAGCAGTGGAAAGGGGATGTGCAATCTCCGAGCATGTGACCTATGAAAATGTCAATGGCAACTTTAACCTCTATTCTTATCACACAGCTTGCAAATACTGCATAATACGTTTGCCATTTCGAATCCACTAAAGCAATCACGTTTGTTTCGGAGAGTATAGAAACGAGATGAAGAGATAGCAAAACTTCAAGGTGCCATCGCAAATTAGCATAAAGACCCCGCACAATTCTGAGATTTATTTAGAAATACCACAAAAATTCAGCGAGGTCGACATGATGGAAGGACTTGCTGGTGTCCATGCAGGAGCTCAGACATGTCTGCAGAGCTCCAAATCTGTCTGCTTGAGCTTCAATCAAATCCACCAAAATCGCGACAATACACAATATCTTGGAGTCGCTTTTCGAAAGTCCAACACCTTGTTTACTTACGCCAGAATGCCTAGTGAGGGACAGCACAGTCTACCAAATTCAGAAATATGCGAAACTAAACTTTCCCCGGCACGAAAATGAAGATGTCCCCAT